CGGAGGCAACACAAGCTTCTGTCTTCAGGTGGAACCGTCACAGCCACGACAGCTGTATCAAGTAAATGAGAGATTACAAGAGCTACCACTCCGTATATATAATGGTTGGAGAGGGGAAGGGCCAAGTACGGCACACTTTTTATTAATATGGTAAGGTGAGGCTTAAGACTAAGAATAGACTGCATAACAGAAGACTGAGCCTTTGTTATTTTATTCTACTTTTATTAATTTTAATTTTTTACCTACGTGACTTTACCGAAAAAACCTAAGAATATGAATCATTGCAGTGACGAAAGCTTCAAATCTAGAAATGATAAAATACAATGAATATTAGCATATCGCTACTGCAGAGAGTGGTGGCAGCGGTTAGCCGACTGCACTGTGAACTCGGAGGCCTCAGTTAGAATCGTGGCCACAACCAACGTCATTGGCGAGTGACATCTGAACTGATTGCTGGGTTCCTCTTCCTTCACTCGGCCCACACTCACCAGCGTGGTGACGTGTGGTTAAACAAGCATACTTCACCGTGGTGTATAGGGTGGGGCAGCCTTCATCCAGCAGTGGATCAACAAAGGGCTACCTTCTACCGTATAGGGTCACCTCTAACTTGTCTATTTATTAAGCATGCAACCCAACAAGCTAGTTGTACTTAAACATAGAAGAGTAAAATTTCGATTTAAAGCTTTCGTGACTGCAGGAATTCATCTTCTTGGTTCTTTCGGTAAAGTCACGTAGAAGGGAAGAAATAAAATAATAAAAATAAAACATAAGACAGCGTCTGTCTCCCCGACAGACCTGGTCTTCACCTGAGGACGGCTGCTTGCGTTGTGGCCGAAACGTCGTGAGAATTATTTTATTATGTTTTATTCTTTTTATTACTTCCCTTCTACGTGACTTTACCAAAAGAACCAAGAAGATAGAAGTGTAACTTATGATTCACCCAACTTGAAACAAAATTTATGTGTTACGTTATTTTGAAGCGAGAGAAATCCTAAAAATGCTCTGCAAACGTGAACCCGGGTGGAGTGCGAGTCTGCGATGATGAGCGGACTTTGCCGGTGCCCGTGAAGCGATGCCACTCGTGGGCTGTGTGGCCCCATTCTGTGGACGAGGCTGTTTGCTGTGGGTGTGTTCGCGTGACTGGAACGAACCCTTCACATTTAAGCCTCCCACGCAACCAGGAACAAACCGGGCCAGTCACCAGGAGCTTGCCATTCCACGCTGTGTGGCTTTGTGGCAGGTAGTTGACTTTTATCAGGCCTTTAGTAGTTTTACATATAAAATAATATGTACAGTGTATATATATATGGACAGTATATTGCGTGTAAGCGGTGTATAATTTCAGCCGGAACAGCCTGCAACAATGTAAATTATTTTGGCACGCCACATCCACCTCGCTTAATTTTGTGAGTCTCTAGATATAATTTTATAAACCTTTTGAAAGGAATATAGGGTACAATAATATAGTATTGTAAAGAAAATGTGTACCTTGTACTCTAGTGGTAGTGCCTTACGCCAAGAATGCCTACTCCAAGCTAGCCGGTAGTGTCCCGCCAACTGTCGAGTGAGAGATTAAGCCCCAGTTATGATGCGCTTACGTAGCTTACTGAACAGGATGTCATCTGTACAATAGTTATTATATATTTGGGATTGTGGGATGGTTGAGCAATGGTTCACACAACTCGCACTGACCGGTATGGTGAAGTATTGTCACACAACCTTCATGATAGACGTCGCGAGGAGGCCATTATCCAGCAATATATTTGCAAAGGGCGATACGTTGTATATATATTCTATTTATCATTATTTTTAACATTTAATTGCGCTTTAATATTTGACCCGTCCACACTTCATAATGCCACGAAAAACAATTGTGTGCAAGATTTTGGTCTTTGCATGCAACGACACGAGATGCCAAAGGGTTGTGGATATTTTCGTGGAGCAGCAAAAGCTAATTATAAAACCTCTGCGGCTTAAACACAAGGACAAATCATCAGCCGTGGGCTTTTTTTTCCTTCCTCCTTTGGCTGCAGAGCCCTTGCAGCCCTGGCGCAGCACTGCAAAGGAAGCCCTCTGGGAGATTTCATCGCATTTGCTGCAGGTGACCCCAGCGGAGGGGTCATGGCTTTTACGGCACTCGAGATGTAGACGGTGCGGTGGGGAGTCGTGCCATGTGCATTACTTGCTGTTACATCATAAGGCATGTAGGCACATTGCTTGACAATGGTAATAGATATTTAAAAGAGGGGGCTGTTGAGATTTACGTCTGTTCTGGATGGATCCCGTGTGGCATGAGGGCCAGCGGAAAGCAACCATGCCAGTGGCTTAACATAAAGTTGATTGATGACAATTCCAATGATGATTATGGTGATGAAATTCATGGCCCCGTGACAGGGAGAGATGATGGCTGTGGTTATAATGATACTTTTATTAATCAATTAATACATTATTTACTTCTTCTTGGTTCTTTCGGTAAAGTCACGTAGAAGGGAAATAATAAAATAATAAAAATAAAACAATAAAAATCCACAGCAAGAACATTTTACATTTTCTTGCTGTGGATTTCACACCTGATGATGATTGCTTGTGTTGCAGTCGAAACGTCGTGAGAATTTTAATTGTTTTATATTTGTATTATTTTATTATTTCCCTTCTACGTGACTTTACCGAAAGAACCAAGAATAACAAAACACTTGTTTAATTGTGGGATTCGAATGTATGCCTCCACCGTGTTTTGATTTATTGCGTAGCTTTTGGTGTTTTTTTTGTGACTACGAACGCTCGTAAAATAAACCATCTTGTATTCAAAGATAACACAACAGCCACGAAAGATTTTCAAGAACCCTACTGTTTCCCCGTTCAGAGCCGAGGAGAGGAGTATTTTTTCCAATAAGCAGAGCATCACACGCTCACCATTTCACCCGTGTTGCCATGCAGCGTGCGATTGTTAACACGTTTGCTTGAGAGCTATCGCCTAAGGACCAGAATCCGCTGACGAAAACAGCCTCCAATGAAGGTGGGCTACCATTGAGCAAACCAGACCGCCTTCGCAATCGCAAGATGACAAGGGCAGAGCCGAGCTATCCGATTATTTAAGTGACCGATTGCGATTATTGATTCCATTACCCAACGGATCGGATATCAAGGAAAGACTTGAAAATAAAGTCTCACCCATGTTCCCATGCATGCCTCTGGATGGGAGGTGATGGGCGTCGCTTGGTGACATTCTCGGCGTCGTGGTGGGTATGGCTCGTGAAGGGGCGTCTGGCTTTCAGGAGGCAGGGTTTGGGAGTGCCTGCCAAAAACGTAGTTGATTGCAATTTCTTTTGTCAATTACAGTAATCGGCTTAGTTGCCTAATTATTTAGAACCAGGACACACAGGGGGTGACCTCTCGTCCACGTGAATTTGTTTTATTGTCTGGCCGCTTGCGTCGTATCGGCATATCGGTGGAGTAGTTAGAGCACCGCGCTATGAACCCGGCGACTTGGCTTCGATTTCACGGCTAACGTCAGTGGCGAATGATATCTGAACTGGTCCTAAGTAACGCCCCGCTCCACTTCACACACCTGCCCTGACGATCGTGGGGCAAAGTTTGATCAAACAACACCGATGGCGTGCGGGGTGAGGTCTTCGCTGGGCGGCGGATCGACAACGGGCGGGGCTGGAGGTGATCATTGGTGTTTTATCCTTTTATCTGGCAACAAAACTGACACCTTTTTTACAAGGAGTCATGTTTGCATTGACCACAATACCTGCAGTCGGAATGCAAACAAAAAACACGACTGCAGGTATTGTGGTCAATGCAAACATGACTCCTTGTAAAAAAAAAGAGGTGTCCGTTTTGTTGCCAGATAAAAGGGTAAAACACCAATTATCATTTTTCGATTTATAGCTTTCGTGACTGCAGGGATTCATCTTCTTGGTTCTTTCGGTAAAGTCACGTAGAAGGGAAGTAATAAAATAATAAAAATTAAACATAATAAAATAATTATCACGACGTAAGCAAGCAGCCGTCCTCAGGTGAGGACGGCTGCTTGCGTTGTGGCCGAAACGTCGTGAGAATTATTTTAATGTTTTATTTTTATTATTTTATTACTTCCCTTCTACGTGACTTTACCGATAGAACCAAGAAGACCAATTATCATATTTTGCTACTGACAAAGGAGGTTCCAACGGGGCTGGAGGTGTTGTGGGAGCTGTGGCGCAAAGGAGAGCGATGCTGCTTTGCGACGATGCCGGTGACCCTCGGCTTGAATTCGAGCCGAGAAACTTGAGTCAGAGCCTCGTTTCCGTTATCTTCTGGCCCCCGCCACCACTTTTCATGCCCCACTTGGGAAATTTTGATAGAGTCGGGTCCCGTCTGCTTCCCGTGCAATAATAGATATTGTTTGGAGATGTCTGGCACATGGGGGTATACAATTTGTTTTAGTAATTTCTCTCAAGGATTATTTTTCCGCCTTCACGCTGCCCTTAGTCATGTGAAGATGTTTGCACAATGTCAAGGCTTAGGCCGTCGTACATCCGCCGAGGAATCTTGAATTAAATTATCAGCAGATGTTTGGAGCAAAAAAAAACCCTAGCAAAACAAGCATTTGAGTTACGTACGTGCGATGAAATATGGCTTTGTGCACTGATCCCATTTATATGAAACATATTTTCCCTGAAAGTGGTGCTCATGGTTACGACAAATAAGTGTCGGGGTGCGCATGGGTGTCCGCAGCTGTTAATTAGGTTCCGCAAGAACATCCCATCCCCATCTCCCCGGCGATGCACACTCAATGGCTACTTGTGACCGCTCAGACGAACAAGGGTTCACAATTGTACCGGCAGCTGCCCGCTGGCTCGTGCCACCACAGGAGGTAGCCAGGTGTCTCGCGAGCACTGGAGGAGCATTTCCTTCTGTGCTGCCTGACGGAATTTCTAACTCTTCCCCCCCCTGTCTGTTCCCAAACCCTCGCGTCTCTTTCTGTTATCGCGCGCCCTCAAATCAAAATGCAGGCCCGTGGATGCCCTCCCGTGCCTTCAATCTCGACACCAAGAGGCCGACTGTCTTCCGTGGGCCCGAGGAAGCGCAGTTTGGCTTCAGTGTCCAACAGCACTATGCCTCTGGGAAAAACTGGTAAGCCCCCACTCAACTCCGGCAGCACTGCTCTTAATTGCTGAATTGTCTCAACGCAGGAGACGGTGTGGTTTGGATTGCAACATGAGTCAGTGCCCCCCCCCCCCCCCCCGCTTCGGATGTTTGCTGGCGGTATCTCAGACTTAATTCAAGCCACTTCGGGAGCCATCCGCTGGCTCATTGATTTTGCCTTGGTTATTTTAACGGCGCATATTGCCTCTCTAAATAAGAAGAAATGGCAAGCACAACAATAGGATTTATTTTATTATAACATTCCCTTACCACTCCCGGTTGTCTGCCTTCCCATGACACAGTTCTGGCATCTAAATATAATACTGTACATATTTGTACGTACATAAATTGGCACGTCCACATTTTACTCTTTAATGGTGTGTTTTCTACTTCATGTTTGTTTATGGAAAAACTGTTCATATGTCCATTCAAACTATGCATGTCAACTTGCACCAAAGTTCATAAGGCACGAAGAACTGAAACGTACGTGCCAGTCAATTTTTCTACTCTCCGCCTATTGTATTTTTCTGTTGTAAGGGAATGTTCACGGCAAACCCGTCGAGATTTCTTACGTGATTACTGCTCGCTTTCGATGAGGCGAAGATGTTCGCTTGGGCAGGGATCACGGTGAAAACTGTGGGATGGGTCTGTAACTTCTTTGTGTGCTCTCATGGACTCTGGCCTCATTGTAATGATCACTGCTGCTGGTCGAGTGTTGGTTTCAGTTCACTTTGAGCTGGCTGCCTTGTAGATGAATACCGCAGAGTTAGTTTTTTTTATTCCACAGCGAAGGAGGCAATGCCAGCAATTTCAGTCTTGGCCTTGAGGCATTTAATAGCAAGAGCTTGGTACGTGACATTTTTCACTGTGAAGCTGCCTCGGCAGAACATTGGGCTATTGATCACAAGGACAAGAGGTCATTGATGGTACTGCAATTCGCTTTCGCTTCCTTTCGCTGGGCACCGCAAGCTCACATTCTCAAATCTCAACCAGGGTTTACTCGGTTCATCATACTTCCAGGGTCATTAAAATGTCTACCGTTTATTGAGATCTCCGCATTGTTTATCCATTGGAGAGAGTGGTCTCCACCTATATGGATGTAAAAATATAACCGATTATATCAGCGATGCAACGATTAATACATTCTATAATTGCACGGCTCCACTTTAGAATGCCTTCCGACCCTCACCAAGTGCTTTGCTGCCTTGCTCCAACCAATGCGTAAACTCTCCTCTCTCACACCAATGCTCGTGCTGTTTGATGCTGGCCGTTTAGCCTTTTGGGCCTGTGCTCAGCCGCCCTGCCATCTATTAAATTGTTACTACAGCGGGCTCAGGGAGAAGGTGCAACAGGGCGCGCGCGTGTGTGTTTTGCACGCTCGTGCCCATTCATAGATGGGGCACGTCCCTGCCGCCGTCCGTCCGTGCGCTAAACTGAACCCATGCGTGAGGACCTACACAGCCTCGCGCTCGCCCCGGGCCGCGTGGCCAATGCGATGTTGGGGGGGGGGGGGGGGACAGCGGCAGGCACCCTACGCCCGCGGAGAATGAAGACTGCTTGCTCCTTGTTGCCGGTGTCGACATGCGGGCGGTGGACGTCGCTGGGGGAGTGGGGGGTGTTGTTGGACTCTCGCTCCGTTGCTGTCTCGTTTACCGCATGACTTGAGCCTGGTGCCGACGGTGATTTCTCTCCGTTGGTTTTATTTTCCCACTACGCCTTTGAAGTCGGCGTGAACAAGTGAGCTTGTTCCCGTGAAGGTGAACCCCAGTCACGCGCGTGATTATGCACAACGTTGGCGCGTGAATTGTGTTTTTTTTGTCCCTGCAGTTTTGATAGTCCCGTTTGGCGTGTTAGCCGCGAGTATGCAGTCTGTTAACCGTGCGTTGAGTTTCCAAACACCATAAAACAGTTTAACGGGAATTTTTGTTGTGTGCGTGCAGTATTTTGCTTGTGTTCCTGCATGCAAGTGAAATATGCAGTTAATATTTTCTACTCGATTCATGACAAAAATGAACATCCGATGCTGATAAAATAATACAATTTTATCTATTTAAACAGGAACACCTCACTGAGTCTCAAAACCTTTTTGTCGGACGGTCCTACATTGGAATATTTGACCAATTCCATTCATAAGTATTCCGCACGTGGGAGAAAATGACACGGTTTTATCCAGAGTACCTGCAGAAAACCCAACATGTGAGCGAATAACGTGAACGTTATCCACAGGTGAGCTCGCAAATCCACTTGCTGTACTGCCATCTCCTGGCTACTTTACAGCCCAGTTTCACAAATCCCCATGATCCAAATCTACATGAACTCTTGCCTCCTAAGTCTTGCACTACAGGCGTACACGACAATTGTCTAAAGGTTCGTCCACATGACTGAACCATGCAAGGTCATTATCCAGATCCCTGTCCTTTCATGAAAGATCATGGAAAGGGCATGCATCGTCATCACGGAGGCATGAGGAGTAAGAGAGAGAGAGAGACTCGGAGCATTGTTCCTCTTCCAAAACGTTGCAATGTAAAAAAAAACACACAATAAAATGTTGGTCTTTGTAGTGCAAGTCTCCAAGCCCTGCGGATTTACTTGCTGACTTGGCAACATCGCTGAGTACAGAAGGTCGACTTCACCGAGCTGTCCCGTGGACGGTCGGTGGCGGCAGCAGTATTTCACACTCGCAGCCGTGGGCAGAAATTGGCTGGCGTTCTTATTTCCCTTAGAAAAACACATTTCAATTCAAACCCCCCAGAGACGTCGTACAAGCACACGTGCGATCGTTCCTGCCAAACCGAGAGCAAGGACAAACGGGGCTCGAGTTTGAGTGCCGTGAATAGGGCAATCCGGGAAGCCACCGCAAAACGTTGACACTTCAGTGGTGAGAGTGTGCGGGCGTTGTAGAGGCATCTCGTGGTGAGTACGTGCCGCACTTTTGAAGCCATTGTGTAACGATGAAAATATAAACATGTTTCATCTACTATTAAAAGAATCGCACCTTATTTTTTTATTAACAACTGTCAGAGTTGTATAAGATGCTGAAGGGTTTACACGGTTCTTATATTCTGAGCCGATTAGGTTGTATATATACTCTTAGGTTTTTTTCGGTAAAGTCACGTAGGTAAAAATTAAAATTAATAAAAGTAAAAAAAAATCACGAAGTTTCGGAGGCAACACAAGCTTCCATCTTCAGGTGGAACCGTCACATTTTTTACCTACGTGACTTTACCGAAAAAAAACCTAAGAGTATGAATCCTTGCAGTCACGAAAGCTTCAAATCTAGAATTAGGTTGTATATAGTTGCACGTGGCTCTAGTCTGGTGATTTGGGGGGAGAGTTTGTGGATCGCAACGAGATGCTTTAAAAAAAATTAAATGTCCTTTGCCCCTATTATATTCTACTTGTGCTGTTGACGTAATATCTTGAGATGAAGAAATTTACATGCAGCGAGTAGAGTATAACCCTGTGTAAGATAACAGCCCCGGGAAAATGACATCACAGAACTGCTTCTGAAATCGCTACTGGAGGCCTCCACACCCAGAGAACACCTTTGAATGCCCTGCCAAAATCGCGTCGCGTGCCAATAAAACAAAAACATTTTAGTCTCAGAGCTGAATAAGATACATTCAGTGAAAAAAAACTATCTTGATTTGAAGCTTTCATGACTGCAGGAATCAATACTCTTTGGTTCTTTCGGTAAAGTCGCGTAGATAGAAAATTAACACAAGTGACCGTCTTTAGGTCCTCTCTCACCTGAAGACGGTCGCTTGTGTTGTGATCGAAACGTCGTGATCTATTAATTTTCTATCTACGTGACTTTACCGAAATAACCAAAGAGTATGGAAAAACTATGTTTGATATTATATTTTATTTACAAATAACGTCAATGTGAAGCAGGCTGAGACGACCAACTCACTTCACATGAGAACCTGGATTCGAACCCAGGATTTCAGTTGCACTAAGTCAGTGCTCTGATCCCCGAACCACCTGGCGACTGCAACAAAGACGCCCATATGCAGGGCAAGTAGGTCTTCTTAAGGAGGCGGTATAGCAAGTAGGTTGCTGCCCTATCTGTACAGCGTGTGCGTGTTTTCTCCTCGTAACAGTGGGTATTCTCCAGTGACTTAATTGTCCGCCCGTGCAAAAAGATCCCCAAAATACTGAAACTTGGTCAAACATCCAAATAATCAAGACCATCTTAACAGTCTTTAAACAAAGTGAAGTCATCCTGGGTAAATAAAGCACTTGTTTTGACGATGCACAGTAAAGAAAATAAAAAACACACACGCGCGCGCATGCAAAACAAAAACAACGCAAATAAAATGCTCCGTGAGACACATGATGGGGTTTTCTTTTCCTTCACCATCTCCCGCCTCTTATTTCTTGCAGGCTGCTCGTGGGGGCACCATGGAAAGGCTCCGCGGGCAAGCGGCCAGGCGACGTGTACAGATGCCCCTTGGGACTCGGGTCGGAGATCACCAACTCCAGCTGCGAGAAGCTGGGCTTGGAGAGTGAGTCGCGGCAATGAAGGGGCGGCCGCCCGGGACCGCGCGAAAGCGGCGAGAAAACGCCGGGCCCTCCCCGCGCCAGGGAAGTTTTGTCTAGCGCAGGGAAGCGTTTGAAATTTGGCACCGCCAGCCAGGGCAATCCCGCGAAGGGCGAACGTCAACAGCGACGCCACCCCAGGGGGGAAAGTGGGGGTGGGGGGGGAATGTTGATGGTCGCGCCCGGTGAGACATGGCCACTCGGTTTACAGAAGGATGGCCTCAAGTAAGGTCGGTGGACCGGCATAGAGAAGTTGTGCGTCGTTCTGGGGGTGGGGGCTTCTTTGTAGATTTAATTCCCTGCCTTTTACGGTTTCACCACCACCCATGCCCAATGCCAAACGCTGCATTGATATTCACATTGGTGATTTCGGGTTTTAAATGTGATACATGAGTTGTGATACTAAGTCAAACTTAGCTTTTACAATTTTGGGGCACAATTGGTGGTAATACATATATGTCAGTGATGATATATGACTTTAATTACCAAATTACATTATAGAATGTATCATTGTCCTACAATATTGCATTTAAACCATAACGCATATTCTTATATATATTGTAGGACCCTCTCTAAATCTGAAGTCTTAAGACAGCCCGTGTGGAGGCCCCTGCGTAAACCCGGCCCTGGTCCCAAGCACGCATTGCTTCCATCGGCGATGAGTACACCCCATTGTGATGGGATTGTGAGCAGTGACAGCATCACGGATGGCGTTAAAGCCTCAGCACTAACGGTGAGAAGCTTAGGGCCCAGTGGTAAGATTTGTCGATTTCCTACGCCAGATGCGGTTGAGGGAGATATGTGAGCAAAGAGGTGCCAATAGTTCTAGATCTAGACTTGATACAGCAAATCTGGCTGTGACAGTTCCACCTGAAGACGGAAGCTTGTGTTGCCTCCGAAACGTCGTGATTTTTATTTTATTTTACTTTCATAAATTTTTATTTTTATTTTTTTTAACCTACGTGACTTTACCGAAAAACCTAAGAATAAGGTGCCAATAGATGGAAGTACAGCAATGGGCGTGGTCAGAAAATAGATTCGGTCCACTCACTGAATTGAGTCTGCATGTTTAACGATCTCCGTGGAGCTTTGACTGTTACCACCCATTAGCATGGGTTTTCTCTGTCAACTCTGGCTTCCTTCCAAATACCAAACACTCATTAATGGTCCCGCGCCTCAGAGTCACGGCAGTTAATGTCTGTTCAATGTTGTGCACGTTGCTAATTGAATTATTATCATAATGTCATTTCCCAAACATGCCAATGCAGGACCCTGCAGAAAATCAGCTTAAAGACATAGCAATACTTTCCTGCGTACATACAGTTAAACATTATTGTTATTTCAAGGATATTTCTGCCAGCTTGGATTAATCAGTTTACCATGGTAGACCACATTTGGTGACTAAAGCTTTCAAACATAAACGACCGATATTTCTCTCTCTTCCTCTCTGTAAATTGGCAACATCATCCCCTTCTACTTTGGATCTAAAAAAACAACAGGCTAATATCGGACGTGGTGAAGAATCTATAATCCATCCGGAATGGGCGGATGGATGCTTTCCAAGGGAGCTCAGCGAGCTGTTTGGAGGAATGCCATCGATGAACGCAAACAAAGGCTACATCGCACAACTGCAAATAACGGGGAAGTTAGGAAACGGATAATGTGATCCACGTTTATTTGGTGAGAAGCCCTTGGTCGCAGAAGACGCAGGAGTTTTAACATCCATTTCCCAAATGCTAGGTCACTGTCATCCTAGAAAATATATACGTTAGCAATAGTGGATATTTCGATTTAAAGCTTTCGTGACTGCAAGGATTCATCTTCTTGGTTCTTTCGGTAAAGTCACGTAGAAGGGAAGTAATAACTGCGTTGTGGCCGAAACGTCGTGAGAATTATTTTATTATGTTTTATTTTTATTATTTTATTACTTCCCTTCTACGTGACTTTACCGAAAGAACCAAGGAGATGAATAGTGGATATGATGTATGTTGATTTGTGGGCTGGATGCGAACGGCAGGAATCTGTTGTTGACACAGCGAAAGCATCCCTTGCGTGAGACATTTGTTTCAACACCTCCCTGCCTCTTTGCTTTTTCAACTTTTCCAGAATGCAAAAGAGGAGTGTGGGGGGGGGGGGATTCTGCCGGAAAGAGAATTGCTGAGCAGAGGAGAAGCTCGCTTGGCCTTTGCTTTTCCTTCCGGATAATCGAGCCGGTTCTGAGGCAGCGTAACAGATTCCCGCGGGATTCCCTGTCGAGTCTGGAGAGGGGGAGCAGGGAATGATATACCGTGCATCCCCGGCCTCAGTGCAGCAGCAACAAGAGAGAGAGTTGCGTGCGATGGTCGGGTTCAGGCTATCTGATCTTGGCACTTCGGGCTGAGGGGCCTCAGGCCATGTATATTCTCAGATCGTTGCTGCTCTTCATGCTACTCGTTAAGGGAATGTTCTCCCAAGAGAACTTTCGAAACCAAAAAACAGATACGACTGAGATATTTTGGCGTGCTTGCTCAAGAAAAATACAACAGCAGCAACAAAATAATAATGCAAGGGACGTACGGAATCTAAATATTTACTTTGCTTTTTTCAATTAAAATAATCATCGTTTAATTTGTTTCCCAAATTACATAATTTAATTACCCCTTGTTTAACATTTAACAACTTACCACAACGCATTATATGTAATTATAATCAGGGGAAATCTAGGCATCTGCCAACATTGCCAATCTTGGCTGCTGCATGTACAGTGTTATGACCTGGAGCAATTTATTTCCGTTTGCTTTTTGATTGTCGGTTGTGTTGCTATTTTTGCTGCTGGCTTTGGCCACTTTTGGAGAGAGGCGGGCATGGGTATGAAGACGTGAGCCTGGCGCAGCTCCACGTGCAATGTCTTGAGTGGAGACCCATGCTGTGCTCCCACGACCACTTCAAAAGTCGGCCCTGTCCTGGATCACAAACCCGGGGCGAGTGGCATCCGCCCGAGTCTGCCCTACTTAGCTAACCCGGTCTTCTCCACCCCACGTGGCCCATTTCTCATGGGTTGCGCAGTTCACTCAGTTAAGGGAGCTGCGCGCCTTTAGACGGATCGCCTTTAAATGGATTTGAGGTCACGGGGTCAGCGCGGAAGAGAGACACGTGATCAATGGGTATCTGGTGCCTTAGGTCGGCTTCAGGGTTGTGCCTTTGTTTAGAAAATAATAGATTTTTAGATTGGGAATGCGCAGGCTAATCCAATCATATGGTAAATCTTGATAAAATAAAGCAGTGTACGTTCACTTTCTTCCAACGGTGGAGGGAGAGGAGAAGGAGGAGGGTGGGGGGAAGGACTGAGTCCCAGCATGGCCCGGGTATTGTGTCATGGAAAAGCAGCACCAGTCCCACTGAGGGCCAGACTTCATAACCTCATAATCATCTCTCAGGATGGATTATTACATCTTCGCTTTAACTACACTCAAGTCTCGGTGCTTTGAAGTGGAGGCGACCTGCCTGCCTCAAGCACGTGACTTTCGCACGGTGGATAAACTCGTGGTACGAAGGGCCTTCTGAGTACGCGTGTGTGCGTGTGTGGGGAGTAGTAGTGCAGTGGTTAGTCTGCTGTTCTACGAACAAAGCCACCCGGGTTTGATTTCTGCTCACGGCCAACACCAGTGACGATTATCTGAATGGGTCATGGGCCACCCCTGGGTCTACTCAGCCTCAAATGAGTACCTGGTGATATGTGTAAACATCGGCACTGGAGAGACGAAGGCGGTCGGGCGTGGTGCTTACCACCCACCTCCTCGTGCGTTGTGCCGGCCTTCATAGGTGCTCGCAAACAGCACTTGCTCCTACAGGATGTTAAGGCTATACGTGCGAACTTTGTCTTGTGTGTGGTGCAGAGGTGGTGTCCGTGCCATCTGTCACGGAGGTGAAGGAAAACATGAACCTGGGAATGAATCTCGCGCCGGGGCCAGATCCAGGCAGCTTCACCGTACGTCCGCACGCTCGCAGCCGCACTTTGCACGGCTGCGAGCCGGTGCCACTGTTACCAGAATGCCGCTGGGGATGTGGATGGTTGGTTCAGGGGCCACGACACTGGGCAGGTTACCACTGATGAGTTAATGAGTTAATGATGACGTCACCCTGCTGCTGCTCTATATAAGAACGGGAGACAGAGCAGAGCCTCACCATTCTGGCGAATTGCCCGATGATGCTGGATGCAATTACCAGCGAAACGTCGTACTCAAATTGTAAATGTTGTGGTTTCACGCTTCAACACACCGGTGGGCTAAAGCAGTGAACTATTTGTCTTTTGTCAACGTGACACTTTTTAAATGATTGGCCGTGTTAGGTGGTGGAGGGTTACGACACATGTATAAATAACGCGATCTAAACCCAAAAACGTTGATTATGAATAATATTGGTCGCGAAAGCCTGCGTGTTAAACTGAGGTTACCACTGAGATCCTGATTTCGAATCTGGGGTAGTCAGTTTTGATTCAATCTCATTCTTTAGTGGAATAACACTGAACAATAATATTCATGTGTGCATCTTATAAAAATGGGAGTGTTTCAAGATGCTATACATAAACAATCAGTACATGCAAACACAATAAATAATAAAAATGTCTTAAATACAAAAAAACACTAAATAGAACAACAAATACAAGCAATGGGCCGGTAGCACTGTGATCGTGGGTTTGAATCTGGGTTTTAGCCAGCTGAGATCATACCGGGTTCTCAAGTTGACACCCGACGAGTTGATTTGGCGTGGTGACATGCGCGAGCGGCTGATGGGAGGGCCGCCCTGCCCAGCCGTCGGGATCATCGCCTCGCCGCAAAGCATCACGGCCAGAGTGATGCCCTGGCCCGCTGCGCCCTGCCCCGCCGTGCGCGTGTGCAGGTGTGCGCGCCACTCTGGGCCCAGCAGTGTGGCAGCTCCTACTTTGCCCCCGGAATCTGCAGCGATGTCGACTCCGGCTTCAACGTCTCCGAGTCGTATGCGCCCACGCTTCAAAGTAGGAACCACAGCCTCTGACCACGCTGTTGACTTCTCAGCTGCGTCCGTATTCAGCGTTTAGCACAAGGGCTGTAACGATTCGTCAATTGATATTGATGCAAAAGCTGCACGATTCGTGCGCTGAATCGCACCTTTTACGTTGTGCGTCAATGGGTCCATCTGACCCTCTGCAGGCACGAGAGGTCGTGGTATTGTGGCCCCGTGCGCATCTCTCAAACAGAAGTCATGCGCTCAAATCCTTGGTTGGAGGTTGATGGTAGAATACGAATTATATTTTTAACTTTTACGGCATCTAAATGCAAATCTCAAAGCACACTGATTGTATTATGAATTCCATCTCTAGCTGAGGACCACCAAGAGAGATGAGAGCTACCCGAATCTTGTTTGAATGTGTGGATGGCCTTAATCATCATAATAATTTATATCTCCATATTAATCCACTGCTAGATGAAGGCCTTCCCTCGCCACGTCAGTCACGTGCACTGTTTGTCAGTACCTCGTCATGCTGGTCGGCGTTGGTTGGTGAAAGCGCTGGAGATGCAGCCGGTTTGGATATCGCCCACCGCTGATGTTAGCTACGCCTCGGAATTCAACTTAGGTCGCTTGGTTTACAGCACAGCGCTAAAACCACTGCGGCGCTGCTCATCCAACTTTGACTTTGCTATTTGAATAATGGGTTTAAAACTGCAGCAGCAGTGGCCATACATGCGCACGTAGAGGGTTTGCATGATATTGGCTGAGAGCTCCTGATAATAATAATCGGAATCTTCATTTAGACCGGAGGAATCCGATGAGCAATGAAGCTATATTTCAGAGATGCCCAGTGTGGGCGCGCGTCAGCAAGTTGTACCGTGAGTGACCCTTTCCCACTGTTTGTCCCTTTCCCCAGAATGCGGCTCCTACATGGACATTGTCTTCGTGCTGGACGGCTCCAACAGCATCTACCCATGGTCCGATGTCCAAAACTTCCTGGTCAAGACTCTGCAGTCGTTCCACATTGGGCCTGATCAGACACAGGTTGGTGGCAGGCGCCTGGGAACATCCCAGTAGAGTCAATCTGCCAATTCACTTACACGAGCTTCATACAAAACATAGGGTTTTTTGGGTTTGATCGCGCAAATATATACACAGCAGTGAGCTTCGTGTCTGTTCGTCTTCTCTGTGTATATCATTGTGTAGGTCGCGCTGTGTCTGTCACAGACCAGATTGGGTGGGGGGATCTTCATCGTTGTGCCTCTTTAGAGGATGACGTTTGCCTGCCAGGAGCTAATGTTGTTGTTGTTTTCAAGGAAAAAGTAGCACAAGGCAAGCTCTTCCCATTTTACAGGAATGAAAAAAACTCGCCTCAATTGTCATTAACGCTGCCTAAATAGAAACGTGTATAGATATATAACAGTCTGATGTCTCTGGCAATAGTCCCCTTCAGCATAGATACACATCTAGTCTCTGTGCTGCCTGAGACAAGATAGAATCTTCGTTCGTGCAAAAAACCCTTTAAGATCAGAGCCAGGAGAACACTCGTGGTCTCACATCGACGGAGGATGACTCCCGCACGTGTTGATGCATCTGGTGGCGTGACGTGTCTTCAGCACCTCTGGAATTAATTCTGAAAACCATTCTGGCGTACTTTTAAGTCTTCAGTAACAGCTCTACAGTGCTGTTAAAATTTCAGTCTCGTTTGCTTCTTGTCATCATTGAAGCTTTAAACTCATGTCGGACAGCCCAGAAACACACAGTCTACGTCCCTATCTACACACAAAAAGCCACAAGATAAACGCTACGTATTTGTGCTGTGGGCTGTGTCTGTGTTTGTCAGCGGTTTAGAATCAGAATCAGAATATTTATCGCGACTGGAGAAATCCGATGAGCTATGAAGCTCTAATTCACAGATGTGCAGTGCGGGCGGGTGAGCGAGTTACAACAACAAACGATACAAACAAAACCCGATAGGAGTGCAAAATAGCGAAAAGAGTCAGCAGGTCACTAAATATATCATTAAATAATAAACACATTCTTGATTATGAAGCTTTCGTGACCGCAGGAATCCATACTCTTTGGTTATTTCGGTAAATACTCTGGTTTTTTCGGTAAAGTCACGTAGGTTTTTTAAAAATACAATTAAATAAATCACGACGTTTTATACCTACGTGACTTTACCGAAAGATTCTAGATTTGAAGCTTCCGTGACTGCAAGGATTCATACTCTTTGTTTTTGTCGGTAAAGTCACGTAGGTTTTAACCTTTACCGAAGAAACCAAAGAGTATGCATCCTTGCAGTCACGAAAGCTTCAAATCTAGAATATTTCGGTAAAGTGACGTAGGTATAAAACATCGTGATTTATTTAATTTTATACCTACGTGACTTTACCGAAAGAACCAAAGAGCAATAAACACATTCATTGCATGAGCCTGACTCATCAAGATTGGGCAACAAGGCATGCTAAAGCAACATCAAAACAGTCCCAGGCCACACACACACACACCCACACACACACCACACACACACACCCACACACACACACCCACCCACCCACACACACACCCACCCACCCACACACACCCACCCAATTCGACGCAAGCGCACCGCAGGAGTGACCCCGCTCACTGGACGTGGACGCACCCCGCCACTGCAGGTGGGCATCGTGCAGTACGGGGAGGTGGCGACGCACGAGTTCGACCTGGGCGACTTCCGCTCGACCGAGGAGGCGGTGGACGCGGCGCGTCGCGTCCACCAGCTGCGCGGGAACGAGACGCACACGGCGAAGGGTGTCGTCACGGCGCGGTAAGGGGACGGCCATAAATGACGTCACGCACCTAGAGAGGGGAGGCAGCAAATCTGGCTGTGACGGTCCCACCTGATGACGGAGACTTGTGTTGCCTCCGAAACGTCGTGATTTTTATTTTATTTTTTTATTAACTTTAATTTCATTTTTTACCTACGTAGTGACTTTACCGAAAGAACTAAGAGTATGAATCATTGCAGTCACGAAAGCTTCAAATCTAGAATTAGGGGAGGGGGGTGTCAGACATTTGTGACGATGTGTGACGGGGGGGGGTGTTTGAGAAATGTGACGTCACATGAAAATGCGCAACTTTAAATAAATATAGACGAAACGTTCTACTTAATTAAATCGACTTTATAATAAATGTTTTCTCCTACAACATCAGAGTGCAGCGCCACATTAAATACGCACTACAATGACAATAGTTTAAAGCGATTTGAAGCATGTTTTATTTTTTGGGGGGGGGGGCAGAGTTTTGTGACGTCATATTTGAGGAGGGGGGAGGGGTCTGACTTTTTGTGACGCCGTGTGACGAGGTGGTGGGGGGGGGGTCAAAAATCGTCCAAAATCGCGTGACGTCATTTATGGACGGCCCCTAAACGGAACGCGCGGCGTGGTCGAGAGGCGTGGTAGCGGTGGCGACGCGGGCATTTGTCGGCACTCCGCCGGGATTGCGAGCGCCAGGATTCAAGTTCAAGTTCATGTATTAGGTATAGTCCTGTGAGCCATTCGGCTCTTGAATCGGGTGCAACCGCAACAAAAATAAAACATGAACAAAAAACATCTTAAAGTGAATATGTGACTAAGTGCAAACAGAAAATCCAAGAAAAGACAGCAAAATATTGCAGAAAAAAACACCGTACACCAACACTGTGTGCAAAAATCCCAGTGGGATGCAAGTCAAACAACAACAACAACAACCACCACAAGATGGGTTCGTGATGTAGCAACGTGGGCGAACTGCGTCGCGCTCCCTCGCCCGGCTCACGCACCGCACCGCCGGTTCATAATGACACCGTGTCACTCCTCCCACAACGTGAATGCATCATTCGACCGAGATGGCAACAGCGACGTGATAAAACAATCGGTTGTCATTTTGACTCCATCTCGTTGCCATCCTCATTATTGAGGGTTTATGTTGTACTGTGACCGTGGAATGTTACGCGTCTTAAAATCAGTCAGTGTGAACAATTACACAACTTACAAATAACCTACAAATAAGCGCACGCACTCTCTAAGGTGGCACAGTGGCAGACGAATATCCGCTGGCAGGCTGGTGCTACCTTGTGCCGCACAGGGTCAGCTGCCACATGGGCTACCCCGAGGCTACCCTGCAGCAGGGCATTGGGCTTGGGGCTACCTTGCAGCAGGGCATTGGGCTTGGGGCTACCATGCAGCAGGGCACTGGGCTTGGGGCTACCTGCAGCAGGGCACTGGACTTGGGGCTACCTGCAGCAGGGCACTGGACTTGGGGCACCTGCAGCAGGGCATTGGGCTTGGGGCTACCTTGCAGCAGGGCATTGGGCTTGGGGCTACCATGCAGCAGGGCATTGGGCTTGGGGCTACCCTGCAGCAGGGCACTGGACTTGGGGCTACCCTGCAGCAGGGCACTGGACTTGGGGCTACCCTGCAGCAGGGCACTGGGCTTGGGGCTACCCTGCAGCAGGGCACTGGGCTTGGTTGAGATGATGTACGGCGCTCAGAGTCTTTGAGGCGTTTTAAGTCGAGAGCCACTCGACGCGCACATCCTTAGCCTCACGGCGGGGCAGCTCATGAGCAACGATGTCAAGTCGGGGCCGCGGTTGCTCACGATCATAGACCCCCGTGGGGTTCTGTGGGTGCAGGTTGGCCAGTTGACGTTCGCAAGTAGTTGTGGAATTACGTGGAAGCAGAAAACCAAAGAAGAACACAGCTGCGCTCATTGCTTGCGGTGGTTGTGGCACTCTTGGGGAAACAGGCCGCCGGATGGGAAGGGTGGTCACTGCGCTCCGTGGGGAAATACAACGGAAAGGGGCCCGATCTGTGGTCACGTTTTATTGGTGCACGTCGCAATGGGGTCTCTGGACCATCTGGGCCATTGCAGTCATGTGCACGTGCGGAAATGGAGGTGCCAGATTTCTCCGCGCGGCACACCGTGCTCTGTGCTTTGTTGCAATGTTACGCACGTGTCGATAGCGTCTTATCCATCGTAGCAAGAGCTGAGCACATTTACATTCGGCACTCCGGCAGTGAGTAGTGCACCACCCGGTGTCAAGAGATCAGATGCGAAAGGTGAAGAAGTCATGCAGCTACTTCTGAAGTCACTTGATTGAGCTTACATCAAAGAAGGGGCTAATCCCGAGAGAAGGAACGATATAATATTGTCCGACAAGAGTGTTCAAAACACGTGAAACCATAATTTCTGGCTCTCAAAGTTAAAATAATATTGACAACACGACAAAATGAATTTAATGTCAGACAACAATTATTGCCTGAAATGCACCCAATCTCATCGGATCTCAGAAGTTTCAGAAGCTAAGCATGCCGGAGCCTGGTTAGCGCTTGCTTCTATGGGTGACCACAAAGGCCTTTACAGGTGCTGTAGGCGTGTGATGTGGCCAGGAAATGGCAGTGCTGAGTGACAGCCCCCTGTACGCATGGTGGGGGGTGCCTCTGGTGTCTCCTCTGATGTGAAGCCAAACTCTCATTCATGGGAGAGGTGAAACATCTCAAAGTAGCAGCCTTGAATCAGAGTTTTGGGACTCGGCATGGATTTTCAGGGTTAATAATTAGCATTATTATTGTTATTGTGCATGTACTGTAATATTATTTGGTGGGGCGGGGGGGTGCAACCAGGCTAAACGTTCGAATATCAACGAACGTTTATTTAACGTTGGTGGAGGAGGTGGGGCATGAAGCGCGGCAGCGACCTGAACGTTTACGTATTCAATCAATAATTGAATAAACAAAATAACCATATCACTTAAAAAGCACGACACCTAAGTCGTGATACAGACGCAACAACAACACGTGTGTGTGTGTACATATCAACATTTGACATGAAACAACAAATAATGCAAACGACTAATTTTAGATTTGACGCTTTCATGACTGCAAGGATTCATACTCTTAGGTTTTTCGCTAAAGTCACGTAGGTAAAAAATTAAAAATAATAGAAAATATACTTGAGACAGTAAATTTAGCTGTGACGGTCCCACCTGATGACGGAGACTTGTGTTGCCTCCGAAACGTCGTGATTTATTATTTTATTTCTATTATTATTTATTTTATTATTTATTTTTTACCTACGTGACTTTACCGAAAACCCCAAGAGTATAATTCAAACGACCACATGACTGCCAACCCCCCCCCCCCCCGACTCCTCACAAAAAGCGCAACAGCGGATGAAGGCATCGCTGATCGCGAGCTCACGGCACATCGCGCTTGTCTCGCTCGCACCCTCCAAGGTCGGAGGCGTTTTCTCCGGAGCGGGGCGCACGTCCCGACGCCCAGAAGGTGATGATCGTGGTGACGGACGGCGAGTCGCACGACAAGTATCTGCTGCCCGAGGTCATCGAGCAGTGCGAGAGGGACGGCATCACGAGATACGCCATCGCCGTACGGTGCCCGCAACAACCGGCGCTCGCAAAACACGCGGCACCGACACGCAGAGGGCCCCAGGGCCGATCACTGTCGCTCCAGGGAGGGGGGGGGGGGGAGTTCTCAGACTCACGGCCCACGGTGGTCAATCTTTAATGGCATTGTGTACGCACGTATGTATGTTGAACTTTCTTTTGCACCGTACGTAGACAATTGTGCTAATCGGAGGAGCGGGGGATGGACAACAAACTAAGCACAAAAAGCAGTTCTGAAGGAGTGATTCTCTTTGGTTTTTTCGGTAAAGTCACGTGACTTTACCGAAAAAACCAAAGAGTATGAATCCTTGCAGTCACGAAAACTTCAAATCTAGAATCTAAAGGAGTGAGTTTTCAATCTAGATTTTATCCAAACACCCCAATGCAGGATACTTCTCGATAAATACATGGTACAACAAGGTCAATATACCTTAACTCACGTATTTTGACTAATTACAATGTTCTTAATCATTGGACTGGGCTGGGGTTAGGGCTCTGGCCTCACAATCAGAAGCCCTTGGAGTTCAAATCATAGACAGGGGTGTCTATTCATCCGACCATCCATCCATGGACAATACAATTGATATCACCTTCTGGGACATCAACAGTAGTTGCCCTATGGACATATTGACCCCCAGCATGGGATGTGGAATTTACAATTGTCTAGATGTAAACCCGAGTTCTTCATTGCAAAGCCCGCGGGCCTCTGGCAGCCCCTGGTGGGATCCTTGAGCGTGGCCCCTGGCGTGATAGCACCCCGATAGTACACGAAAGTGAAAAAACTCCATCGTGCTGTTCAACCCATTGGTTTCAAATTGTGATGTCTTATCGGAAAAAGTGTCCCCCCTCTGAAAACGAGTGAAGAACACTCATTTAAACCATCCATATTGACATACATGTGTTGATATAAAAACATGCAAATTTACGACTCTTCTTTTTAAACACCTGCTGCATGAAGGGCTCTCCATGCCGCCTTCGTCATGGGGGTTGTGGGGCCATACTGCACCACGCTGGTCAGTGCGCGTTTGTGCAGGGGGGGGGGGGAGGCCAGTGACGATATCACTCACCACTGTTCTTAGTCGTGGCCATTGATCAAACTCAGTTCGCCGGGTTCATAGCACAGTTGTGCTCACCACTGCGCCATTGCTTGCTGCCCCCAGTGTTGGTAACCATTTGTAACGATGATGATGATGATGCTGTTGATGAGGAAGACGACGACGATGATGATCTTCTTGGTTCTTTCGGTAAAGTCACGTAGAAGGGAAGTAATACAATAATAAAAATAAAACATAATAAAATAATTCTCACGACGTCGTGAGAATTATTTTATTACGTTTTATTCTGTTTTATTATTTTATTACTTCCCTTCTACGTGACTTTACCGAAAGAACCAAGAAGATCATCATCGTCGTATTATAAAACATAATAAAATAATTCTCACGACGTCGTGAGAATTATTTTATTATGTTTTATTTTTATTATTTTATTACTTCCCTTCTACGTGACTTTACCGAAAGAACCAAGAAGATGAATCCCTGCAGTCACGAAAGCTTTAAATCGACGATGATGATGTTGACGACGTCGTCATCATCACAGGTGCTCCGCTCGTACAGCTCCAATGCGGACGACGTGGCTCGGCTGATTAACGAGGTGCGCTCCATCGCCAGCCACCCCGTGGAGAGGCACTTCTTCAACGTGACGAGCGAGGCCACCCTCATCGACATCGTCGGCACACTCGGGGAACGCATCTTCAGCCTCGAGGGTGCGCGAAACGCGCTCTCTCACTCTCTCGCCGCGCGCCCTGAATTTGAACCCAGGAACTCGGAGATGACCGCTCAGTGCACTAAACCTTGAACCACTGGAACGCACCACATTTTACACTGCCTGCAAAAGGCACAATTACCACGAGGCACTATGGGAAACCATAGCTTTGAGAATCTCACGGAATATCGCTTTACATGTAGTATCGTGTGTTGGCAATGTAGTGTGTTCTGTCCACTGCATCAACACGTGAATGTGGCCACAGACTGATGGAGGCAAAGACAACTGTGTGGTGCTGGCGATCGGTAACAAAGATAACCCCGGCACACGTGGCGATTTCTGTAACGGCGACCTCTCCCCGTCTTCTGGGGTGTAAATATTTACAATAAATTATGCGGCTTCCAAAAATATATTTTTTTAATAGCGAGCAATTACACAGCAATGCTAACACTGATCTATGTTTGTTCTAGGCTACTAGAGACCATAGACTGTGTGCCCCCCTTGTGATTGATTGGAAGCACTCTCGTGCTTATTTGCTAAAATCCCACGTGCAGGTGACGAGCCAAGCACGTGCTTGCCGGTCAGGTGTCCTCTCAGGTCAGGGTCCTTCTGCTGCCTCCACTTGGAAGTCTTCCTGGCCACCCAGATCCCCCCCCTCCCCCCACTCACTGCTTTTGCGTAGCGACCATACATGGGTAGAGGCACGGAGAAATGTAAACATGTCTCGCTTTAGCCCGGCGCTCGCTTGCAGTCTCACAAACATTTATTCCTGACGTCACGTTTTATTTATCGCCGTGCGTAAACCGTCAAAAGGTATTCGTGCACGCAGGGGTTTTGGCCAGGCGGTTTTGGCCAGGCGGTTGTGAAGTTAGGGTTTGCGTATGCACACGCAAACACGCACACATACAACAACAGCCTTATAGGCTGCTGGGCAAGTGCTCTTACCGAGCACCTATTATGGGTGGTTTTATCTTGTGTAGCCTACGGTCAAATCACATGGCATGCACACAATCTTGTCAGAGAGAGGGGAAGCTAAGCAGGTTTGAGCCCGGGTAGTGATTGGATGGGCGACCAACAGGCGTAGCAGGCGTAGCAGGCGTAGCAGGCGTTGCAGGCGTTGCAGGCGTTGCAGGCGTTGCAGGCGTTGCAGGCGTTGCAGGCGTTGCAGGCGTTGCAGGCGTTGCAGGCGTTGCAGGCGTTGCAGGTTTTGAGGCTACATGCTCTCAGGCATTGAAGATGGCAGAAAGTCAGTGTGGAAGAAAAAATATGTGTTGTTACTATACTTCTATACTCCCACATTTATCTTGTCCACCTTCATCAACCCACACTTACCAGTGTGGTGATGTTTGGTCAAACAACCCCCACGACCCCCGTGGCATGGGGAGGCCCTCATCCAGCATTGTAAAGAAGTGTTTCCTTGAATATGGGTTGGGTTACTCTGTTACAAAAAAAAACAATTGGATATAAATATTCTGAAGGGGAACCAAATATATTCCCAAATACTGGTTCCGATTAGAAACAAATATTAATTCCTGGGACAACAAATATTCGGGGGGAGGGGGAACATATATTCTCCGATACTTGCATGAGGGTATGGTGTGACCTGCACCTTGACTTGCCATATTTGTTTCCGAAAGCGGTAATGATTTACACACTGCACCAGGTACTAATTTGAGGCCAAGCTGACCTAAGGGAGGCCCAGGACAGGTTTAGATACAAATTGCCACACTGGTGTTATCCATGATTGTGAATCAAGCCCAAGTTGCTGGCATCATGGTTATTTGTGCCACTGCCACATACACGCTAAAAGCGTTATCTCCACAAGTCTAGCTCTATTAAGATTCCATCTCAAGTCAGCTTCTATCCACTCACGATAATTGCACTCTTCCCAACTGAGGTTAAAAGTGTTTATGTATTAGCTCTGTCTGCCCATATGTCTGTAATGGATATGAGCACGATAACTCGTCAAGGTGATCGAATAAGAACGAAACTTTATTTGAAGGTTTTATTGATATTAGGAATATGCCATTTTGAAAACTTACCGAATGTATCAAATGGTTGCTCACTACTTGGAAGAAGCAGTCCAGAGCAAATTGATTATTGTGTATTCTCCAATATCAAAACTCACCTTTCCCTGACAGCTACCCGTCAGCTTTCCGTACTGCCAATCAAACATTCCCAAAGACAAATTCAACATGGGACAGCGTTACATCATGACTCGCAGTGATTTCACCCCCCTATCACCTGCCCCCCTCACCCACCCCTCCCGACTTGTTTCACTGCTGTTTTTACAGGCACAAGGGAAAAGAACGAGACTTCGTTTGACCTGGAGATGTCTCAGGCTGGATTCTCCGCTCACTATGTCGGGGTAACGAACGCAAATGCTCGCGAAGCGTTCGACTGCCCACGCACGGAACAGAGAGAGAGAGAGGGACAAAACTCCCGCATTCCAAGCGGGGCAAAGTTACTTATCATAGTCGATGACAAAAGCGTAAAAGCAGCGGCTTCTAAAATCTCGCTCCTCCTCTCATGCATCTTCAGAGGGTGGAAGTTTTTTTTTTTTAAACCCTTCCCCCTTTTAAAGGCAGGGACACCAACGAGGCTGAGCGTTGTTTTGTCTCGCCGCTAAACACGCCGTCCCGTGTGATGGCCACGTGCCACGGCTCGCCCGCTTCAGGCACTCTTCACCGCTGCCCCTTTTGCTGCCGATGTTGCTGATGCCTATTCCGCGGCGGTGCGTTTCAGCCGTTCTCATTTGATCATCGCCAACGGCTCGTGGCGGTCAAATCTTACGGCACTTTTGTCACCGTGTGCGCACTGCACAGCGTCGGGGAATTTTAGTTTGGATGAATAGGCTGCTTCTGTTGTTGTTGTGGCTGGGGCACCGTTGATCTACAGCAGCGAGTTGCACACACCACACACACGTAACCTCCCTTCTTCTCAAGTCCTCTGCCCAAGGACAGGTCTACAGTATAGCTCAAGCTCCATCCATCCCTTAAAACGTAGGTTTTCTGAGCCGATACCGTGATCAATAATTATTCTTGGGTAAGGCCACATTGTTGTTTTAGGCCACGTAGCTTTAAAGTCCTTGTCATTAACCCTCCACCACACAACAAGATTGTACAAAAATGTGCTATTCTATATACGTTCCATCGTATCGAGCAGGCTGCATCAGTTGACAGGTTTTTTTTTTCAAAACCACGGAGTCAGCTTAAAGGAGAAGCTCAAAGCAGTTTCAACAAATTGGCGCAATTTGGTGTTAAATTTAAACGTGAATATCATTCAGCCAGCGGTGAGTCGGATATTTATTGGTGAGAATTTGGTCAATATATTGGCACGGTATAACTCAATAATAACTTTGTAAATGTGACAATTGTGTCGCGTGGTGGAAGGTTCAAGAAAATGACGTTGCTCAACACGCAAACAAATATGAATATTTCCATCCATCCCATTCGATCTCTCTCCCCTCTTTGCGTTGTTAACACCACACTCTGCACTCGGGGTTTTTGAGTCCTAACTGGAAGAGGATGGTTGGGATGGTTTGCCCTTGACTTCCTCAACAGTATTTTAGAGGTGACGCCATCACCGTATACAAATTAATATCATTGCCGGTACCATTTTTGTGTGCTGGCTGTGTCCAGAGTGGTAATGAATACCAGGGAGACCTCTGCAGTAAAATCAAATAAAAAATCACCCATGCTGCTATTACAGCTGCGGCTCCGTTCACCCCACGCTAAGTTTAATGCAGCAGTAGCAGCAATGAAAGTCGCCACCGGGTTACATCGTTTCCATTCCACGCAGCGCCGTTCCACTGTTCCCGGTGGTCCTGCGCCTGATTACTGAGGCTCTGCCTCTGGCTATGTGTGTGTGTGCATGTGTGTATGTATGTGTACGTGGTGGGTAGAGGTAGTGTATTGGTTAGCGCGCTGCGCTACGAACCTGGGTCCCCGAGTTCGATTCCCGCTCACGGCCAACATCTGAACCGGTCTTGGGCCTCCCCTAGGTCGACTCAGCCTCAAATAAGTACTTAGTGTGATGTGTAGACATCGCCACTAGGGAGACAAACGTGGCCGGGCGTGGCACTAGCCACAAACCCCCTTGTCTGCCATACCCCCCTTCATCGGTGCTTGTTCACAGCACTTGCTCCAAGAGCCTGGGGGGGAGGGGGTCTTTATCTTTGATGTCTGCGTGCGTGCGTGTGCTTGCGTGTACGTGGTGTTTTGTCGGGCCGTGTGCGTGTGTTCATGTGTGCGTGTGTGCGTGTGCTTGCGTGCTTGCGTGTACGTGGTGTTTTGTCGGGCCGTGTGCGTGTGTACGTGTGTGCGTGTGCTTGCTTGTTTGCGTGTACGTGGTGTTTTGTCGGGCCGTGTGCGTGTGTGCGTGTGTACGTGTGTGCGTGTGCTTGCGTGCTTGCGTGTACGTGGTGTTTTGTCGGGCCGTGTACGTGTGTGCGTGTGCTTGCGTGCTTGCGTGTACGTGGTGTTTTGTCGGGCCGTGTACGTGTGTACGCGTGTGCTTGCGTGCTTGCGTGTACGTGGTGTTTTGTCGGGCCGTGTGCGTGTGTGCGTGTGTACGTGTGCGTATGTGCGTGTGTACGTGTGCACGTGTGTACGTGTGTGCGTGTGCTTGCTTGCTTGCGTGTACGTGATGTTTTGTTCGGGCCGTGTGCGTGCGCGTGTGCGTGCGCGTGTGCACGTGTGCGCGTGCTGCGTGTGCGCGCGTGCTGCGTGCCAGGGCGCCCTGATGCTGGGAGCGGTGGGCGCGTACGAGTGGATGGGCACCATCGTGCGGCGCGTGGGAGACGAGGTGTCCCTGCCGGGGAAGCACGCCTTCGAGTCGGCGCTGCCCTCTGAGCTGCGAAGCCACGCCGCCTACCTCGGTCCGTGCCTCTTGCACGAGCCGCGCTTCATATATTCATCGCTGTATCCCCCAACCCCAATCACAGCTGATTGGCAGGTCGTGTTGTGCTGTGTTGCGTGCGCGTCGAACGTCTTTCGCACCGTACGTAGCCAACCGTGCTAAGCGGAGGCATGGGCCAAAGTGTGGGTACTCGCACCTCTTCCAACATGTTTAGGGGCCGTCCATAAATGACGTCGCGCGATTTTGGACGATTTTTGACCCTCCCCCCCTTCGTCACACGACGTCACAAAATGTCAGACCCCCCCCCCCCCCCCAGGTGCGTGACGTCATTTATGGACGGCCCCTTAGCCGTGGAAGAGTAGGTCAAACCACCCTCTAGAGGGGCTCTCTCTAGTGGAGCCTTTTCTGCCAGCAGTGACGTGAGTAATCAATTGGAGGGCTCTACCTTCACCATTTACGTTCCAAGCGTAATATCGTCAATAATCACGAGACAAATAAACTTTGATTTGAAACTCTGCAGCTACCAGTGCATCACCCTGTGTCGGGAAATGGCCCTGGAAGATGGCGTCACAGAAGTACCTATGAGGTCACTTCAATTGGCCTATTTATTAATGGTAATAAGCCCTGCATAGAGTATTTGTCTCGTGGCAGTCAAACCCAGAGCTGGCATTTGACCAAATGAAGTGAAAACACAAAATGCAATATCATTTATATTTTTGTAACTTAGCCAAGCATATTCATTGACTACAATTGAGGAACGGTTTTATTCCAGGGTGGCTAAAATGCACGATCGCAACGGTGCAGCCTAATGCCCCTAACTCCTGAGCCCTGTGGCCACCTCTGAGCCCGAATAGTTTGACACTCTTAACAGCAATGTAATGAACAAACAGCATCTGATCAAATCACCAGGAGCGAACCTGATCTCATCAAAAAATCGGAAGCTGAGCAGGCCTCGTTAGTAAGAATAGGCTTTACCCATACTGGCAATAAAAGAGGTGTTAAGATTCTCAAACACCAAATCGATAACTATTGCAAGGCATCAAGTCTGCATTAGCCACACGTAAGTTGTGGCAAAACATGAAAACAAACATGCGCTGATAATATATGCATTCAATCTTGATTTGATCTTGATTTGAAGCTTTCGTGAATGTATGCATTGCTTTGTATACTGATTGGCCTCCATCATAGACAGCCGTCTTCATGGCTTTGCCTCACCACCAGTATGAGACCAGAGAATGACAAAAGGCGAACAGCGCAAACGCAATGCAAGTATCAAGGTATCAGTAGCTCGGGTTGAGTAGTTATAGCTATGGGACCTGAACATCTTAACACCTGTTCTATTGCTACAAAGGGTAATGCCTATTCCGATCTTGATTTGAAGCTTTCGTGACTGCAGGAATCCATACTCTTTGGTTCTTTCGGTAAAGTCACGTAGGTAGAAATAAAACAAAATAAATCACGACGTTTCGAACGCAACACAGAGCGTTCGTCTTCAGGTGAAAGGCGCGAGAGCTGCGATGTCTGCTGCGAGCAGCACGATGTCTGCTGCCTTGTGATGATGAAAAAATATTCTAATTTTTGAAAAAATATTTTGATTTTTTCGTAATTTTTATACTGGGAAACAAGTCCCACGGATAGCCTTGTTCGTGTTCTAATCATGGGCCACGGACCATGCAGGACAGGCTGCTGCTCAGCCACATTGTGGGCAGCAGAGGGCACCTCGGCAATACCCACGACTTAAATGCGTGCCGCAGTCAGGGGAAACAACCCCGCACGGTGCGCACAGCCCCTCACCCAGCAGCGTATCGACAAAAGTGCTTGCGCCTGACACCTGCACAACGAACACGCCGCGGCACCGTGCCGCACCGCAGGCTACTCGCTGACGTCGGCGAGGACGCAGAACGGCTCCACGATCCTGGTGGCCGGGGCGCCGCGCTTCAACCACACGGGCCGAACTGTCGTCTTCACGCAGGACCACAACTCTCAAGTCAGCGTGCTCAAGACGCTCTCCGGGGAGCAGGTCAGCAGGAAGCGAGGTTGCGTCACCGCCGTGCCCGGACACGAGCAGATGTGCGTAACGCGAAACCGCCGTCCGTCTTGTGCTGCCCAGCTCGAAGCCCCGTTGACGAATGGACTTTTAAGCTGCACGCCTCGTTCGTTTATTTTTCTCGAGGGGGATTGTTTTGTTTCTCGATGACGAATGCGCCGGCGTTCCGGCGCGCGTTCCGGCGCGAGCGTTATCCGGGGAGCGGTCCGGTCACCGGGCACGCCGCCGCGTTGCCGTGACCCGCAGATCGGTTCGTACTTTGGCAGGGAGGTGTGCGCCATGGACGTGGACGGGGACTCGGTGTCGGACGTGCTGCTCGTGGCCGCCCCCATGTTCATGGACTCGTCAAGCAGAGAGACGGGCCGCGTCTACCTCTACACGTTCAGCCCCCAGGTGTGCCCCGCCGTGACCCCGGCGCTACAGACAGACGACCTACGAAAGGTGGCCGGGAGGCTTTAGGGGTCATCGAGTTGGCACTGCTGTGTTCCTGGATTTTAATCCGGGTTTCAGCTGCCTGTCTCAAGAGCTGTGTGTTTATACTCTCAACCCGGTGACTGACGACTGATCAAAGAAACCCATCGTTTTACATTTGTAGGTATATTCGAGCTCTGAGAATGGAATATGTTGGTATGGTTGCCTTGGGAAGAATACTCTTAACGGGGACGTTACAGATGTATCCCGAGAGTGGATGAAGGCCAAATTCAGCCCCCATGTGCACTCAATCCTCACACTTTCCACCAAATCCTGGATATGCCAAGGAAGTGCATTATGAGCCTGAGTTGGATTCCCGCTCTTGGCCAACACCAGTGACGATTATCTGAACCGGTACTGGGCCTCCCTTAGGTCGACTCAGCCTTAAATGAGTACCTGGTGAAATGTGTTTACATCGCCACTGGAGAGACAAAGGCAATCGGGGATGGTGCTGGCCACCCACCCCCCTCAGGTGCCATGCCGGTCTTCATAGGTGCTCGCTAACAGCACTTTCCCCAATAATCTGTTAACCCTATACGGGGGTCTTTGTCCATGTGTGTGTGTCCGTGTGTGTGTGCGCGCGTGGGGAGCAATAGTGTAGCGGTTAGCGTGCTGCGCTATGAACCCGGCGACCCGAGTTCGATTCCCACTCACGGCCAACACCAGTGACGATTATCTGAACCGGTCCCGGGCCTCCCCTAGGTCGACTCAGCCTAAATGAGTACCTAGTGCAATGTGTAAACATCGCCGCTAGGGAGACAAAGGCGGCCGGACGTGGTGTTGGCCACCCACCCCCTCGTGTACAATTCCGGCCTTCATAGGTGCTCGCTAACACCACTTGCCCCAACAGTCTGTTACAGGCTAGACAGGGAATCTTTGTCTTTGTTTGCCCTTTGCACGTGCGCAGGGTGTGCTGGAGTGGAGCGCTCACCTCTCGCCGGCCGAGAGCCAGGACTCGCGCTTCGGCTCGGCTCTGGCCGCCGTCCCCGACCTCAACCAGGACGGCTGGGGCGAGCTGGCGGTGGGGGCTCCGCTGGAGGACGAGCGCCAGGGCGCCGTCTACCTGTTCCAGGGCCACGGCCGCTCCCTGCGCACCACCCACGTGCAGGTGCTGACCCCCCCCCTCATCCCCCCCCCCCTTCACACAACCTTCCCAACGTGAACTCTTTCAGTGGTGTAGCATGTTCTTATTTTATGGTTCGTTCGGTAAAGTTACTTAGATAGAAAATAAAAATAATAAAAACAAAAAAACTCCCGACGTTTCGATCGCAACACAAGCGGTAGTCATCAGGTGGAGAGAAAAAAAAGTGGGTGTAGCACGGTTTAAGATGTGCCCTGGTGCGCGGAACGAAATGTACCCCCCCCCACCACCCCCCATGCAATGTTCCCCCTTTCTTCTGAGCCTGGGTCCTTCTGACCCATGGACCCCGAGGTGCAGTCGCAACACCTTCACGCTCAATAGGCACGCCACGGACCTGTGCGCGCCCCGTGACAAAACGCATGACTCCGCTCACGGGGGCGCAAAGGCTTACGGACGGGTGCAAGGGGGTGGGTGACTGCGCCGCTGCCGGCTTCATCTCTCGTGTGCCCGCCGCGTGGGGAGCCGTGCGCGACGCGCGTTTTTTTGGCCGCGCTGCTCATCGCTGCGTCTCTCTCCCGCGCGCGCCCCGCAGCGAGTCGCGGCGAGCGAGCTCGGGCACGGGCTGCAACTCTTCGGGCGCTCGCTGCACGCGCAGCTGGACGTGGACGGCAACGAGATCGCCGACGTGGCGGTGGGCTCGCTGGGCGCCGCCGTCGTGATTTGGTGAGGCTCGGGACACCTGCTCTGCACTCGCTTCTTCTCATACCGTCCCTACCTCACACGCTCCTTCTCTCCCTCTCTTCATGCCTCTCGTTCCTTTTAACCCCTGTTCCCCCCCCCCCCCCGCCTTGCTTCTTCTCTCCCCGTCTCTGCATCCCCTCTCCACTTGTGTGGCTTCTTCTCCACCAAGACGCTCGTTTCCGAGCGGAAGACTGCTCTTGATTTCTAGGCCTGTTGTTGTAAGCCTGAAATGGTTCGACGAATTTTCACCTGTTCTTTGATTTCTGTTGCGGAGAGAATATTGGCCTCTCGCGGCAGCAAGGATCACACGAGCCCAGGGTGTCATAATGTGCGGTCATGACCTATCTACTGCTGGATTAACAGCTGCCCAAGCTTCCGCCACCTCTCGCCGTCTTGCGATGCAACAAACATCGCTCCATCTCAAACACCTTTTTGGGCACCTTCCATCCGTTGGGTGTCATTATTTCATTACCGTAGTCTTGATCACTGATCAGTCCTGCTGTAGCCTCCTTGATTTCATTCAGTCAATACAATGTGACTAACTTGCATGTCTTCTCTGCTCCACGTGTGCCTCTTTCTGTCGGTGTGAATCTCTCCACGGCATACGAATAGAAAAATGAACAATTGTTACGTGCACAATTCATTGCATGTACCACTTCACGAGACCTCTTTGTCCAATTGTGCTGTGTCTACCTTCTAAGCTTCATCACCGTGGTCCTCAGTAGCACTGACGTGTCGGCACAAAGCGCACTCCATGCGACGATCTCAACCCAACAAAGAGCCGAACAGAGGGAGCCTAATTTACAACCGAGGTGAAGCCTGCGGCGGACCGGACGGCACCTCGGACGGAGTAATTCGATCCGCGAGTGATGCTGGAATGCAGTCGGGGGTGCGCTCAGCAGTTTTCCTGGCTGTCACCGACATATGCGCCCGCGATTGAACATCGCTGCAGAGAACACGTGTCTCAGCCAGAGCCGTACAACTTCCGTGTCTGGGCTAAGGGTGCAAAGATGGTCAGACGTCATGTGTGGACCGTCTGCCAGTCCCTCCTGTTGGAACCGAGCAATGCAAGACAGCTTTCTTCAAGACATTGTTTTGCTGTCCCCCCCATGGCTTCAATGGAGAATTATTTTTTTTATTTTTACTCCGTTCCACAGATGTTTCAAACCAAAGCTTTCTAAGATTTGATCCAGCCAATATTTTTGTGTTAATTTGTTTTTAGGCTTTTATTTTTGAGAAAACGAAGGGGACAATATTTAAGGTGCCATGCTCTGCGGACCGGGCAGGGTGTGAAACTCCCATCGCTTTCAGCCTCCACAAATAACCAATTGCAATCTCAATCAGAATACATTCAGTACTCTTTTCGCTTTGATTGCATAATCTATTGGCGCCAATACAAAATGAAATAGTTACTCTCAACAGAAACACCTGCGTAGAAATCCTCCGTGAGAGATCCGAGTGGATTATTCTTCGTCTCATAACGCGACTCCGAGAGCACAACCGGGTATCAATTATCTGGGAACGTGGTATATATACATCAACAATTTATTTCGCGAGATTGTGCCGGCGTGGCTGTCCGCTCGCAGGTCGCGCGGGATCGTGGAGGTGGAGGTGGCGACGCAATTTGACCCGGGTGAGATCGACATCTGGAGCTTGACGTGCGAGGCGCGCGGGCGCAGCACCTTCTGCGTGGAGTCCTCCGTGTGCCTCACCGCACGCACCAGGGCTCCCAAGCCAGAGGCCCAGCACGTCGGTGAGCCTCCCCCCCCCCCCCCCCCCCCAGGGCCTGGCCACGTGCATCGCCCCCCATCGCTGCCGCAGTTGGAATGCTGAGAGCCGGAATCGCGTCTATGGGCGACTGGGCTGAAAAACATTGCCTTGGCAATTTTCCCTCCTGTTGGAAATCGAGACCTTGGCACACGGAAGCCAATCGTGCGAAGCCCCCCATTCAGTTGTCGTTCGTGGGAAGTCACAAGTTCTTCTTTGCTGCTCCATTTCCTCGAGGTTCTTTCCCCCAGCCTTCTGTGCTGTTCACTCCCTGTTCAAGTCCAGGCTCAAAACTTCCACTTGTCCTCTGCCTATAAGTGGCTGCCTCTTTCTCTGTATAAAGTAAATATGCTCACTCTGCCCGTTCGTTGCCTTGAGGTGCGGCTCTCGTTTTCACCAAAATGGATGAAGCGTAACTTTCGCCAGAATGTGATTCGGGCCATGAATCAAAACATAGGTGCTCAATCAAAACTGAATTATAAATGCACGTTCTACAGTGAACCAAATCCCAAGTTGAAATGTCCGCTCTAATTATGGTGTTAATTAATCCCATACACCAGGGAATCTCACAGCGCTTTACATCACAATCTCATCTCAAAACGTTTGAAAGGATACCCCCAGTGGCAGCTGTCCCTGTGCCGCACCTGCCCTGCAAATGAGCATTACTCGGGGAACATGAACACGACACGTCATAACCGCACGCGAGCAATTTGAATTGAGTAAAATCTAACATCGGTGCGTGCACTTGCGTGTGACACCATGCCTTGGCGTTCCTGCAGAACACGCTTGAAAATAGCTGGCAGCATAACTGACTTGAGCTGCCGCGTTGTGTTGTCGTGGCTCCCGCGCAGCCGTCGTGTACAACGTGACCATCGACGCGAGCAGGCTGGCCCCGCGGGCGCTCTTTGACAAGTACGACGAGCGCAGGCTGCTGCGGGAGGCGATCCTCCCCTACGACGTGGAGACGTGCTCGCGTTTTAAAATCTACATGCTTGTGAGTATCAACCAATGCAGGGCTTTTTTGTCTTTAAATTTTTTTCACAATTGTTTCGCCGCGTTTTTAAGAGGTTCGGCCTGAAAGCAGAAGGCAAAACACGCGTGCGCTGCCTTGTCAGGGGAAAACGCAACCCCAGCCAGAAAACACCGTGTATCTCTCATTAACCTCTCGTTTAGTTAATTGTATCTGAGGGGAGTCAGATATCATATTGACTGTTAAGAAAAGTAAATCGGCTCGGGCCGAACATTTCACTGGAAGTGGATTATGGCCGGTGGTCAAGACTAGTAACATTGTGGCAGTTAAAGGAGGGAACAGGCACAAAAGGACATCCACCACTGACATGGAGCGACGCAGTCAGCTCGTGTGCAGGTGCTCCGGTGGATCGTCATGTCGCAGGACCATTGGGAGATAGGGCTACAAGTTTGAGAGGCCTTCATCCAGAGGGGATATACCGTGGTTGAAGAAGAAGAAGATAATGATGACTCTTCTCTAATATTTATATCCTCATGTTGTGCCTGCATCGTCTCTCTTTCCCAGGAAGCATCGGACTATGTGAAACCGCTGGGAGTCCGCGTGGATTTCCGCATGGCTGACCCAGATTCTGGACCAGTCCTAAACCTGCTCAAGCCCAAACACGTTGAATACATGGTCAGGAATATAACTGTACCGTATTGTCTAACGAATGCAGTACACACGCCTCTCATACTCGCTGGCATCGTGCCGTGTGCACGCTCGTGATTTGTGTTTGTGTTGCCCTCCTCAGATCCCGTTCAAGAAGGACTGCGGAGATGATGACCAGTGCATCACAGACCTGGTGCTGAGCGTTAACACCGATGCCAGCGGATCAACGTGAGGCGCACATTCGTAACATTTTATACCGTACCGCGGTACTGCCATTCCACTGCTAGATGTGTGCCTTTCCACGCTGTGTGGATCACGTGGGCTGTTTGATAATACTAGATTTGAAGCTTTCGTGACTGCAAGGATTCATACTCTTAGGTTTTTCCTCTTTACTTGATACAGCAATTGTGCTGTGACGGTTCCACCTGAAGACGGAAGCTTGTGTTGCCTCCGAAACGTCGTGATTTATTATTTTATTTGTATATTTTTCTCTATTATTTGTATTTTATTATTGCTTATTATGTATTTATTTATTTATTACCTGTTTGATAATACTTCACGCTGGTTAGCGCAAGTCGGTGCAGGCGGGGAGTAAAGAAGTGGGAGCGTATGAGTACAAAAGTACATTTCCCTTTGAGACCAAAAGTCCCTTTTTCAATATGTCGGACCACCAACGTAATACAGTCGTTTAACAAGGGAGTTGTTGAAGACATGGAGACATTTAACACCATTACATATCACTCGCCACCGATGTGAGTGGTGGCTGGGATTCAGGCTCGTGGTCTCCGGGTTCATAGTGCAGTGCGCCAATCAATGTGCCACGGCTCCACCTGCTTCTTCAACCCGGCTGTCCCATCCACCGCAATCACTCTTGTGAGTTCACTCTTGTTGACGTGCCTTGCTTACTCCCACTGAAACCTTAGATTTCTACAACGTTTCTGAGTTGAGTTTAAATCGTTTCATTTAACCAGGCTAGCACTCAAGAGGCCACGGTGTAGAGTCTCATTTGCGAAAGTGACCTGGAGCTATTAACCTGCCAGTAGGGGGCGGTGATTGCCATGCACAGTCCCAAATGAGTAACCCGCTAGTCCGTTTTTGAATTCGGTAAATTTTGGACCCTGACACCAGCACACAACGGCCTACTGTTTGCGAACGCCATCGGCGGATCTTTAACAACCACTGTGAATCGTACGGCACGCATTATTTGTGTTATTACACCTGCAGTATTAACCAGGGTGGCGGCTTGATTTGAACCGTGGACATCTGCAAGAAATAAACAGCTGTGAACCCTGCACTCTTGCTATCGCAAAGAAGCATACGAGTGTCAATTTATTCGGAGAACACGTGCATGTAACATACAACTCGTACGAGACACCGAATATGCCCCGGAGTGGGACGCTGATGACAAGCAGAACATTCTAACTGGGGCTTCGTGTGCACGTGTAATGTGCTCGCTCAAAGCTTGGTTGCACTCGCAGGATGTTTCGACGGACAGGCTTAATGAGAGGTCCCTGGTGCAAACCCTGAGCGGAGGTTTGGTCCCAAAGCCTCCTGAATGTTTAGGAAGGCATAACATCCAACCGCAAACCACGCACTTAGCCGACTGAACCGGGGCGCGCGCGCGCACGCACGCACGCACACACGCTCGTTCTGCCGTGGTCCTCGCTCCTCGGACGTGACAGCCCCGTCCCGTGCGCGTCTCCCGCAGGAGCGCTCCGTTCCTCATCAGCAGCACCATGCACCGCGTGCTCCTCAACGTGACGCTGCACAACAAGCTCGAGAACGCCTACAACACGCGACTCAACGTGTCGCTCTCCCCAAACCTGCACTTCAGCAACGTCATGGACCAGGTGAGGCTCCCCCCCCCCCCGCACCCCATGCAATCCGGCTGAGTTACCAGTGTCTCAATTCTAGATTTGAAGGTTTCGTGACTGCAAGGATTCATACTCTTAGGTTTTTTTCGGTAAAATCACCTAGGTAAAAATGTATAGTAAAATAATAATTAATGAGTTATTTTCATTTATCTTATTATTATTATTATTGATTACCAGTGCCTTTCAACTTTATTGATTGATGGCCCCTCTAATCAAGACTTTTAGTACCTTCATCCCCCTCCTCAGAGCCTCCACTCCCCCTCCCAACCCCTGCCCCCCCCCCCCCGCACCGCAGGTGTGGTGTCTGTGAGGCATTGCTGCTTGTTGTGTATTCATTTTTTTGTCGAGCCTCCACAGCGCAGACTTTCCCTGCACACGCACGACATTTCTGCTCCACGGTATCCATTCCACAGCCTGCACCGCCTCTGAGAGGCTTAGTGGGGGGTTGACTCACAGGGCGGTAACCACGGTTTTCAGGAGGGTCCTGCATTCAGATGTTTGGCCGATGCTTTCTTGATAAGTGCTTTGCTTGATGTGGGACAAAAGTCTGAGTACCTGGAAAGGAAACCCACCACAAATTCAGAGGGGGCATCACTCGGCACCGCCATCTTCTGCCCACCTTGCTGTCCTGTGCACTTGTAACACGTGGCAATCTCTGGTGATAATCCATGCAACTGCTGGCCAAGCTGAAATCTGCTTAGCTTCTGAGATTTGACAAAATTGGTCTCGCACAACCGCAATGAATTCTCACTTCCGCGCGTTCATAGAAATATTGTTGCCTCGCCTCCTTTGTTGGTCGTCGTCGTCCTCATCGTCTGCGAGTGCCACGAAAGCCGATTTGTAAAAGCGCTGCCATTTGGATTCCCCGGCGAGAGTCTAATTTGCGCTGTCACATTGCCCTGCGGCAGGCTGAGAAGGCGGTGAAGATTAATTGCCACTCTTTGGCGCACGCGACGGGCCGAGTGTGCGAGGCGGGCTACCCGGTGTTCAAGTCCAACACCAAGGTAGGGTGGTGGCACGCCAGCCAAAAAACAACGGCAAGCAGGCACCAAGTCAAAGCTGCGATGAAATTAAAGCGACTTAATTTACTCGGGAGCCGGGATCGTGGCTCGGCAGTAATGGTGACCACAGCGTTTTAAAACATTATTTTAACTTCATTATCAAATGTTCTGCAAACATTTAAAACACTGCATTTTTAACCACAATTCCATTACTGGCTATCGATTAATGTAAACTTTAAATAGTGTTATTGTCTATAACGATGCAATGAAACCATACAAAATCGTAACATGTCACGCTTTTTATTCTTATTTTCTCATTGGCTAAAACTGTGTGTTTAAACCATCCTCATGATTATAGCGTATTTGGATCATGGTTCACTTAAACAGATTACCATTTTTATTGACATTTTGGTGATTGTAGCACCGCTAGTGGCTGCAAGGCTTATATGACCCAATTGCACACAACACATGAATCAAAAGTAACTTTTTATTGCCAGTTTATATTGCCAACTTCCGAAGCAACGTGCATTGCTGAATCAATGCTTGGTTATAGATGCCAAATATTCACCGCACTGTATAATTATAAAACAACATATTTGCTTTTGGGGTGAGTGGTGGTGCAATAGTTTATCACGCGGCGCTATGAACCCCACCTTCTCCACGAACCCATAATGACGAAGTGTGGGGAAATCGAGTAACGTAACAACCACGACGTATGTGGCAAGGGGAAGCCTTCATCGAGCAATTAACTGACAAACGACTATAAAAAATAGTAAACGACTGTCAATTTAAATTTGTATTACTTGCTGTTAAGTGCCTATCTATTTTGAGTTTCTTTATCAACATCAAACACCATTCCTCCTGGGAGAAAAGCACTATAGAATTTTACCCGGTTGCAAATGTTAAGCTTCGAATGGTCTAACCCTTGATTTTCTGCACCACAGGCAAATGCAAATTTGAGAGCAGAGTTTTGCGTGACGGCATGGACACATTTAGACAGACACGTTAGACATGCACATAACTCGCTGCCTGCTTTTCATCTTCCAGATCAGCCGCATGTTTGAATTCAAGCTCAGCGAAACGACGCTTTTGAACCACATTGATTTTCAGATGGAAGCCATGAGGTACGAATTCACCGCACGTTTAAATATTTAATACGCAGAGACAGCATTGACCATTTGATCGTCCCCCCCCCAAAAAAGCCACCACTTGAGCCACGTGCGTCTCACATGTGTAATGTGAGGTTATATCCGGGTCGTTGACGGATTACAACTCGTCACAATGATTGGCTCTGCCGGTCCTGGTCCATAGCCAATGGGGGGAAGCCTAGGGGCGTGGCCCTGACGTGATGGAAAGGTGACAGCTGTTTGTAGATGATTGGCCCTGCTGGCTTTAGCCACGGACAATGGGGAGACGAGTCAGGGGCGTGGTCCCAGGAGACTACGACGGAGTCTGGAAGATTCCATAGAGGCTAAGCAGGATTGGTGGAAACGTACCACGTGACCCGGGTATTAAATAGGGGTGGAGACAAACAACAGGTAGTCAGAACTGGAACGAACAGAGGAGGAGGCCATGCGAGAGCGGGGCTCCAAGTTGCCACGTGGCTGCACGCGTGGCTCTCTCTCTCTGTCCCTCTCTGCCTGTCAGCAGCATGAAAGAGTGCTGTAATGAAAAGTGAATAAAGACCGGATTCCAGAAGTCGCTTCAACGACCTTTATTACACATGAGTTGAATTGTGGGCCCTTTGTTAACACGGTTCCACCAAGGGCCAGGTACAGTGTCCCTTCAGGCTGCCAATAATGTCTTGTTATATTTCATGTTGATATTGTTGTTATTACAGCCTGATGAGTCGGGTACACAAATGCACTGCCAGCTCTTGTCGCAGCGTTTACTTGACACTGTTGGAAACAGGAAGCCGTGGGGTTTCGTGCAGCGAGTTTGGAATGTCCGAAAGTGGAGTGTGCCCCGTGGTATTTTACTCATGCCATCGGCCAACGTGCCCATATATAGTCAAATTAGACTGAGCAGCGTGGTACCTGAATGGCTACTTGAAGAAACTTCATTAGTATCTCATTTTTGCTTCAATGAAACCATTACAATGCTGCATTTCCAAATCGTCAGATACCCCTTTTCACCCCTTTATTATTAAAGCTAAAGTAGGCGGTGAATCTTACAGCCTGGTGTATGTGTGTATGTGAAATAGACTAGATTTGTGTACATTTATTGACACTGGACACAAGTGTGGAGTGCGTTGTACTTTTGCAGAGCATTTTATAACCCACGGAATTTGGAATTGAAATTGCTGTTATTGAACATTCGTAAAGGGATAATTGCGTATGATAGCAAACGTTAAATTTCGAAGCACACTATTTTATTCGTGGGACTAATGACCTGGGGTTGTGAAGTGACCAGCGCATGAGAGTACAGCATTCTTTGATACATTTGTGCGAAGTATTGAGTGTCATTATTTCGATTGTGTGATGGGTTTTTCTCCGGGTGCTCCAGTTTTATCCCACATGCCACTCATCAATGGCATTGGCCAAACATGCCAATGCTGGAACCTCCTGTGGATGAATACTTAGACTCAGCGAGGCTCTCTTCTCAGAAACTAAAGGGCAATATATAATTCATATCGTTTAATTTAATCGGATGTCAGCGATTTTATTTTTGCAAGCACCGCATTGGGAATGCTTTGTGTCTTCTTATAAACGATGGTTCTCTCAAGTGATTTACGTTTAGTCTGGTGGACAGCGTTTTTTTTGACAACCACATGCTGAATATCCGTGCCACCCTGCAGCGACAGCGACGAGCTCCCGGACACGATGCACGACAACACCTTCCATCTGTCGCTGCCCGTGCGCTATCAGGCCGACACCATCTTACTCAGGTGCATTCGAACTCTGCCAGCGGCTGTGGCTGTCGTAAAAAAAAAGTGCAATTGCTGCCGATGAATGTTAAAGTCACCAAACGTGAAAAATGATCAGCCTTGCTCGTGTAATTTCACTCGGATTTGGGCAAACTGCTGTCCCATCGAGCGTGCTTTTTGGGCGGCTCGTGTACAACACTTACACTACTAAGCTGTATTAAAGTAGTCACTGGTTCATGCGATTGAATTTCTTTTATATATGCTCTGTTTTGACAACAACAACATCAAAAGTACCAGTGGACTTAAACCTGTTTCTTTACTTTTCAATTTACATTGGTATTTTGCTATACATATTTCAAGACTAAAACAGTACCTCTAACATAAATGATGTGCATATAAACAAATAGGAGTTCAAATGTGAAATAATCCACGGCAATATTTCAGCCTAACCTTTGTATATACTGCGTGCTTCTTAGATGGCCAATTGTTTGGTAGTGGGATTACAACATGTCACACACAACCTGATCATCGCATTATGTAGTATAAGCATCCTTTGGGACATTTTAGTTTCTAAATGTTTTTGCGCTGCTGGGTGGTGTGATGCAGAGCCAATCCCATCACCGTATCGAGTGTGCGACTGCGTTGCTGTCGTAAATCTGCTGCTGTGTATTCTCCCACATACACAGACGAAAATTCCCCAATATACAAACAAAGACAAATTCCCCCATATCGCATTTTACAAACTGTTGGGGCAAGTGCAGTTAGCGAGCACCTTGTATATATGCATACAAAGACAAAGATCCCCCGTATAGCCTTAACAAACTGTTGGGACAAGTGCAGTTAGGGAGCACCTTGTATATATGCATACAAAGACAAAGATCCCCCTATAGCCTTAACAAACTGTTGGGACAAGTGCAGTGAGCGAGCACCTTGTATATATGCATACAAAGACAAAGATCCCCCGTATAGCCTTAACAAACTGTTGGGGCAAGTGCAGTTAGGGAGCACCTTGTATATATGCATGCACCCCCACACTCTCACGCAAAGTAATTTACCTTCAAGTGGGATCAGAATGTCCTGTCTATTGGATTGGATGAGAGGCCATTGGGGATTGGATTGTTGCGTGTGCATAGGCCACATGAACATCATTCGTCAGTGGCAAAAAACAACAACACGTTCCTTCGGAGTGGGCAAGTAGGAACTTGGTTGGACAGCGTATTCGTGCACGACAGACAGACAAATACTCCCTGGTGGGCAGTGTGGAACCTGTTGTTCCTACCTGTAATACCCCTGCAACTATCAGTAACTTACATGGCCAATGGAACAAGCTCAGACATAACTCAGAAATGTACCTTTATGTTATCCAATGATGCAATGCGATACACATTCAACACGTATTTCATCACGTATATGTAATTCTAAATGTATGTATTTATTGTTCCAGGCAGACCAACATCGAATACATTGAAATCCTTAAAGATGTCCGGCCTCCCAACATCATCAAGTCCTTCAATGACATTGGGACGATTTTCAAATTCACCATCACAGTAAGCTTGCCCGTGTCACAAGCTGATCTCAATAGACACACAGCAATTCCCCCTATAGTTTTCAGGGATACATATTAGTCATGTAACGATCCTCTCCTTTGCCTGTGTTTTGATGAATTTTCACTATTCAGGATGTGCGATCCGATTCTGGGTTATTTTTGCAGTTGCCATTGTGGTTAGTCACGAGAACCAATTACATGGAACTTAGACGAATCCAAGCATAGTAGATTTTATTTTTTTAATCCAAATCTATTTGTAATTTCTCCCCAATTGTACCCCAAATCCCGCAGTCAGTCGCATTACGAGAGAATCCATTTGGATCTCTCACAGAGAGCAGTGCAACCATTCCTGTTAGAGAATGGCCCGTGGAAGCGGACATCACAGAGCTACGTCTGAGATCCCACAGTAGGGGGCAGCACTGTACCAACACGAAACATCCCTACATGCACAATTCTATTGGTTCATCGTTACATTACTCAATATGAAATTTAGACATGAAATGAGAGTCATTGATCTTTACATTTGTTCTTTCATTATGTAAACACGTGACAGAAAACATAACCTGAAATGTGTTCTGTGCTGCATGCAGAATATATTGGGAAGTCTATCTCATGAATGACATAAATAGACAATAACGATGCATAAATGCATCGAGTTAAATTGATTCTCCGGCTCATGCCACATGCATATAATCATGTAGGTCAACATTAATGATTTTTCTGCCACTTGTATTAACACTCACCAATTGGCTGAAAGACATCTTCTTTATATATAAAGAACCTGCAGAGCAATTGTTGGCACCAGCTCACTGCCTGGCAGCATTCGAGCTTGTCTCTGGCACCTCAGTGATTGTGAGATGCAAATTGTATGAACGACGCGATATAAAAAACTAATAATAAAAAAATGACTAATGATTTATTAAAATAATATGTACATTTTGTGAATGTTATATGCGGGTTAACGGAGCAAACAAAATTTTACAAACTAGACAGAACAAATTAAAAAAAAAACATAGAAGCCCGAAGAATATAGGTTTTTAAATCGAAGCACAGAGCTGAATTATAACAATCCATTTTACCTCTGACAGAGTGAATCGTTACTTCCTACCCGTTGCATCTCATGTGTGCTACCACACGTGCTCGCATATGTGGGATGCGCTTGTGTCGTGGTTAGGGCATTGCTCTTCGAACCTGGAGACCTGACTTAGATACCTGCTCAAAACACTCGGTCGACACGGCCTTAAACTGAGTGCCTGGTGTGCAGTGTGTATTAAACATCAGCACCGGGGAGACAAAGGCGAGCGGGTGTGGTTCTGGCCACACCATCCCCTTGTGCGTCGTGTCGGCCTTCATAGGTGCTCACGAAGGGCACTTGCCCCATCTAAAACTAAACCGAACAATTTTATATTTTACCAGGTAAGGCCCACTGAGCTACTATAGCTCTTTTTCAGATGCGACCTGGCCACAAATGATAGCTCAACAAAGTGGCTTATCACGTGGAAATGTATAGCAACCAAATAGTTGAAACGCTTGTTTATAAATGTGGATGGAAAACCCGAAGGACCGGAGAAAAGTCCACGCGACCACCAGGAGAACATGCAAACTCCAAATATACCAGGCGAGGTAGTTAATATTAATATCTCGCCACTGTGGCGCCTATTGTCTGCTATTGTCAATACTTTTGCTCACGCACGTGTACTCATCTGCAGATACAGAACACGGGGCCGTATCTTCTAGAGCACCTTCAGGTGAACGTCTCCATTCCAGCATTCTCGCAGCAAGGAAATCCGCTGCTCTACATCACCCACGTGGACACCTTCCCGGTTTGTCGTGGCACGCAGCAGCACCTGTCCATGGCACATGTGCCGCAGCCAGCGATCGCCTGCATTACACAGCTACTCACGTCGACCGTGCCACAATTAAACTCTGTGGCCAAGTATTCATTTAACAGAAATTAACTATAATAAACGGATTAAACAGTAATGGTTATTTTCACCACCAAACAGACAATTGGTTCATTTGGACATATGTTTTCTAAGCCATGGACTGGTTTTGACTTTCTGAGTCTCATCAGCAAGGTTTGTCCTGTACAAAAAAGTTCATAGTTTTTTTCATGCAGTATTATACTGTCAGTAGAAGCTATACATTGACACTGCTGATGAGACTCAGATGGTCAAAACTGGTCCAGGATTTGCCTATTTTCTGCTGGAAGTAATGGCTTGAAGCACATTGCACCATGCCTATTTGCATTATTTTACATTATTTTATTCCACATAATCATCCACCGAGGCATCGTTAAAATGATTATGTATATTGCATAACTATGCAAAATTCTACTGAAGCCCAAACCCAGCGATTCGGTATCATCTTCCAGGAAGCGAAATAATTTACCTGATGCCACTGCCGACGTTCCAGTGATGTGGCCGTGTGAATGTGTTGTGTTGATCCTGTGAATGTGCTAATTGTGAATGTGTGTGTGTGCGTGTTGAACATGTGTGCGTGCTGCGTGTTCTGTGTCGATGCTGTGTGTGTGCTGATGGCGTGTGCTACCTTCATGTATTTACCGTGTGTGCTGTGTGGACTGACTTTGTGTGTGTGCTGACCCGGGGTCACAACATTCTGTGGGTGTCTCTAAGCTATATCTAATCATGTTGGGAGTGTCCACGTGGCCACGACACCTACAGTGGCGGTGCCATCACGGTGGTCGTGTGTTCAGCGTGGCGACTTGATTGTTAGAGCGGCTTGTGTATCGGATTCGTAAATATTGAAACAATGCCACACATTGAACCCATAGCACGTTCACACAAAATTATCATTCGTATCATTGTGGAGATCATAAGTGACAAAAAATGATGAGCAGACAGGGCATCTTCTTCACATGTCTATCTATCCACGTAAAAAAATATTAAGTGTTTGTTTTACACAATTCAATGGCGTTCATATTTTCAGCATATACACACGGATTGTTATATTCTTAGGTTTTTTCGGTAAAGTCACGTAGGTAAAAAAATTAAAATTAATAAAATAAAAATAAAATAAAAATCACGACGTTTCGGAGGCAACACAAGCTTCCGTCTTCAGGTGGAACCGTCACAGCACGATAGCTGTATCAAGTGAGATAAATGCCAAGAAACCCGTATTTGTATATTTACTGGTTGAGGGTGGTAGGAGCCAAGGCAGGCCCTGAATATTATTTTTGTGAGGTTCGGTGCGGCTGAAGCCCGCTGTTAGGAATGAGCCTTTGTTGTGTGGGTTGCAGTGTTTGTGGTGGAGGCACTGATGTCTTTCCTTCGATCGTGCCTCTTCCAGGCGCACCAAGTCCGCTGCCACACTGGCAACACCGTCGACCCGTTCGCCGTGGCTCAGAGCCAGCCACGTGCAGTGTTCCTGGCCGAGGACTTCACGGCTGAGAGAGAACTGGTGAGCTCATCTAAGCCTAAGAATAACAACATCTTGATTTAAAGCTTTCGTGACTGCAGGGATTCATCTTCTTGGTTCTTTCGGTAAAGTCACGTAGAAGGGAAGTAATAAAATAATAAAAATTAAAATAAAATAATATGTTTTATTTTTATTATTTTATTACTTCCCTTCTACGTGACTTTACCGAAAGAACCAAGAAGAATAACAACATCGTTAAGCGGGCAATATATCGTCTTCGTTTATATCCGTCTCTCACATATAAAAAGTAAATCGTCTTGGCAGGATTGTTTCATTACAACCTCTGGACCGGTTTCAACATATAGTACTTCATCAGCATAGTCAGGCTTGCTTGAATCAATGCTGGTGAATTGCCAGATGCTAAAAGCAAGGACCATGTCTTTAAGATATCGGTCGTAGTTGGACGCAATATCATTGGATACAATAACGTTTTTAAAATATTTTTAATATAACACATTTGCTCACCTAGCAGTGGTGATTAACGACTGTTTTTAGTGATTTTTACACACGATACATTGCTATTTAAATGTACCACTGTGATACATGTGTCTGACAAGTTTGCTACGTTTTATTAGAGCTGTTTTTTAATTCATGGATATCTGTACGTCGAACATCCCATCTATGAAACTGCCTCCAATCAATTTAAAGCGTTAGAGTTTAGCCTCGTTACATTGTGGTCCTTGTAGATTGAATGTGCATGTGTGTTTGTGTCCATTGATTATTCTCCAACATGCCTTCATTAATCAAATGGAGTCTGTTAGTAATACAGTGAGATGAATGGTATATAGGATGAGGTTGTTATTTTTAATAATATTTTTGGCACAAGCCCCTGGTCAGCTGTGGTGTAATGGTAAACGTATGGTTGTCAAATAAAGAGTCATTTATTTAAGTTTTATCGCCACCAATTATAATTCAAGTTATGCTATTGGTGCCATGCAATTAAAGTTTAATTTGGAACTCCTACCGCGAGCAGTGGATATCTCTTGTCAGAGAATGGCCCGAGAAAATGTCACTTCAGTAGACCTCTGCAGCTACATAGGAGACACACCTTTTATATGCCCTGAAAAGTGTGTGTTGTATGTCCATCAAATCAATCCTGGCTTAGAGCTGCAATTTAGCCACATTTGACGGAAACACGAAATGCAATTGTATGTTTGCTTAGTGATTGGTGACCAGGCTAAGACCAACAACTCATCACATGAGAACACGGTTTAATTCTGGGCAACTGAAACACGGAGGATTTGAATTGAGGACATCGGTGGTGGCGGCCAAGTGCTCGCCTGAGCCCACGAGTGAAATTAAATGCGTGTAATTGTTTTACAGAATTGCAAGACGGCCAAATGTGCCTCGTTTCTCTGCACAATTAAACGGATGGACAAGCATCAGACGCTGGGGGTCAAGGTGACGACGAGGCTGTGGAATTCCACATTTCACAAGGTGCGGAGGTTGACTCACTAACGCGTAGTATACTCCACCTACTGGACACTTGTGAAAAGGAGCTTCATAGCTCATCGGATTCCTCCAGTCTGAATAAAGATTCTGATTCTAAATGTCAAACAATGAAACACATTTCTCCTGTGTTTAAGTAAGAATTAGCCTGGAAAAGCCAGAGTTAAAATAATGTTATAAAATGTGTTTAATATTGCAACAATTGGGGACTTTATTCATGTCTACAGGCAGATCACTGATGGAATCAACATAGGCCTTAATTTTTAAAGAATATTAAGCACGGCAGATGATGGCCATGATCATGATGTTGGTAGTAAAAATGGCAAACATGATGTGTGGCACATTGACGATGTTAATATGATGAGGATGACATGATGACGATTGATGACAATGGCAACAATAGTGGTGGCAATTGTGGGGACGGCGATGGCAAGTCGAGCTCGGAGACATTTCTAGCGATGAGCGATTTTCACTGTCACAGGGAAAGCTGAGTCACGTGAGGATCGTGGCGCCCACGACGCTGCACCTTCTCAACTCCTCGCTCATGGTCATCAAGGAAGGACACGGCACGACGAATGTACGTGCACGTGCAGCGTGGTCGAGCGTGCACGACCCCCGCACATCAATGGGATTCAGAGCTTCGGCTTTGCCAATGCAGGGATTGCAATGGAGAAGTGCTAATGGTGCCATACACACACACCGATTTTAAACCGAGTTTTTTGGGTAACTATTCATATGGCAAATTTAAAATTGTTCATCAGAAAACATTTTTGTGAAATCTTGATTTAAAGCTTTCGTGACTGCAGGAATCCATACTCTTTGGTTCTTTCTATAAAGTCACGGAGGTAGAAACATATTTGTATTTTTTTTTATTTATGGTAGAAAAATATTTGTATTTTATTTTTCTACCTACGTGACTTTACCGAAAGAACCAAAGAGTATTTTTGTGAAATGTAATTCGTATCAGGCTCCATGGTGTATAGTGCAGCCTCCAATGCTTATCCACTCTATCTCTCTGATGTGTTATGAAGGACCATTGCCCGACATCGCCTATTATATATTTCTCCTTTTAAGGCCACTGTTGACAAATGTCAGGTTTTTTTGTTAGTGTGCACCACTGCTAAATGCAGTAGCACCAAGGAACTGAGTGAGTTTTCCCCTTTGTTGTTAATTTTTAGGTTACCGTGGAGGTCATAAAGCGAGGGAAGTACGTGTTTCCGTTTTGGATAATATTAGCGAGTGTCTTGGGAGGGCTGCTGCTCCTGGCGCTCATCATTCTGGCACTGTGGAAGGTAACCTCGGCACACACCGACAGTGCATCGCCGAAATGTGTGTGGATCCCACCGAGGCTCGAGCAGAAACGTTTTAATACACGTGCACCAATTGAACAACAGTTCTGCATTCAGGAATCATATATGTTGGCTTTGCAGATTACTTTCATCATTCACATTGTGTGGGAAACTAATCGTGAGTGTATGCTTTATCCATCACCTCTTCTGCAATGTGAGTACAGGCTAGGAATGTATTAGATGTGGTTGCTTTATGGTATGTCAGTTGAGAGATGATCCTCTGCTGGTTCACTCCAGTCACTGTTGTTCAGTCCCTTTCCTTATCATTCTTGTATTTTAGCTACCAGTCATTGTTGCCATTAACATTTGAAATATCTTCCCTTGTTAATGACTGATTATAATCTGATGTGATGATTAGCATTCTTAGTTGTGGTCCACTTTGCGTTACTGTATATGCCTGTTTGGGCCTGCGCTCGGCAATCGTGATACGAGATAGTCAAATAATGCCCATCAACAGCCTCGTACGCATTTAATAATAGCCGAGTACATTTGGTATCCATGCCATTCTTATAATGCAAGCCTATCAGCAAGGCGCCGCGATTCCCCACTGGGTTCCAAGGCAAAAGCACGGCCACACATTGCGCTGGTGCCAGTGTACCATCGGGCTGATCGGGGACTCCAGCAGTTGCGTCAGGGGCGGTCAGGAGCGGTGCGCTATGTCATCTGCCGCACTAATGAGATTGTGCTTTGCGTCGCTTGCAGCTGGGCTTCCTCAAGCGAAAGCAGCCGATGCAGCAGCTCCAGAAGGCAGAGGTGATTCACCCCACATAGCTGCGGCGCAAAGGATGGTGCTCTCTCACTCCCTCTCATTTGGTCTTTGTCTCACGTACGTCTTCGTTAGTAGCTGTACACTCGTACCCAGCCCAAGGTCCAATTTTGTGTGCACATCCTTTACAACTTTAAGGGTCAAGGGAGTGGGCGTTAACGTTTGTTTAGGATTGGTTGCACTTTTTAGTTGATTTTATAGTACAACCAGTTCACTGTGGTGGAAAAAATATAAAGGGTAATTCCGTAGTCCTTACGCTCAACAATTGACCTTTTTAAAAATGTGTTATCTACAATGGTCCACGTGGGAAACCCAAGGGCACCCCACTCCATATGCTGTCCTTCGAAAGGTTTTCCTTCATGTCCCAAATGTCCCCGATATGACCTCTCCCTTGTGTATAGAGAACACGATTACATGGTCTGTTACCCTTGTGCATTATGAAAGGGTGCATCATGGGAGTTGGGGGATTGTATTTTTTTAAAGTTATATTTATTACTGCTTTACACCCCCCCAATGTTTTTTCCCCCTTTCAAATAGGAAGACCACACAATTTATATTTCAGGTATTGTTCAGAAATGTAATTTTACAGATATTTAGTTTATGCACGTATATATTTCCACGAAGGATACAAAAGTGACACTGATTTTCTATAAAAAAGGCAATGTCTTTTAGACCAAAATGTGCTTCTTTGTAAATATGCATTCCTCTCGTTTCATTGTCATCCGCACGTTCGTTGATTAAAAGCTCCGGCATGTGGAGCTTATGTTTGTCTAACAATCCGGGTGACAATCTCTGCTGTAAAGTTTGTAGACCCGTAGATTCCTTTCTGTCGTGTTGCTTCTAAGCAACGATGTACAAATTGTTAAACAGGGTCGCTACTTTAATGATGCAGACGTTTTAACGAAACGTGAAAAATACATGCACTGTTTAACTGTTTGCGTTCGTGTTTTCTTTTCAATGTCTTGGCCAAAGCTTGGCTGCTTGGAGTGTGATGATTTGTCCTCATTTAGATTTGACGAATCATTGTAATGCAGGGTCACTGCGGGTTTCTTACACCATGGTGAATGTAACAGCCTGTAACAAGCATTACATACACGCAATTTACTGAAATCTAAAAAGAACATGATTCTTCTGACACGTTTTGAAGCATTTATCGTAAGCTTTAAGATTCGAAATTGATTAAATTATGCATTGTTATACACCCTTTATAACTTGTTTATTTGGCGATGCTGCGTTGGCAGTGGTGCACAAGGACATTTAAGAAAAATCAACACATTCGTTAACATCACTGCCTTGAAATATAAATAATAATATACAATAGGCAACATCTTGGCGAATGGCCCTTCATAGCACATAAGGGCCATTTTCCTGAAACGTCACCTGGAGATGTTTTCATTTTAAGGCAGTGTTATTGATGAATGTGTTTTCTTAAGGACTTCGGAATGCGTCTTCGGTCCAAAAAAATACCAATTTAGTACCGTATTTACATCTCACCACTGGAAAATCATGCTGTGTTGTAATATCCTTTTCTGTACCTTCAACTGGGGAGGGGAGAGGGGGGGGCACGGGGAGGAAGAAGTGACAAAACGTTACGAGGATTACAAATGCCAGATTTACTGTATACATTTACAGCTCACAGATTACATAAAACATTAGTTCAGTTGCATGACAGAAATCACAGCAGTTATTGGTAGAGTTTTATGCCATCACAAATGAAGACGTATAAACGAGACACTATGGTCGAGATCTAGTTTCCTTTCCCACAGGTATTGATCTGCAACGCCTGCTATTCCATTGTGCAAATATGTACACACAACTTCCACATGCATATACACGTTATGTGTATGTGCATCCCAAAAATTTTATTTCGAACTGCCTATCCTTAACGTCCGTGGGGTTTTTTGCGAGAAACTAAGGACTAGCATTTTTTTACGTGAATGTAAAATTTTTGCACAAAAATATCCGTTTGTCAAGACGAGTCACCAACATGAAAAGTGTTCAAATACACAAATGTTTGCTCAGAAAAACCAAACTCAACAACAACAACAAGCTGCCAATATAAGGTGTCTATTTTTTTCTTTGTTAAACAATAAGAACAAAAACTTGCATGATAATCCACATAGAACAACAGTATGGTGTACCAATATATGGAATATTATATATCTGACAAAACACAAGTGCAAGTCACAATCTAGAAATACCAATAACGCACAATTTTATATTTCCAAATTGACCCTCATGCATCATCATTATCAATATTGGTGAAGCAAACTCCTTTAAACACCCTTATTATACAACAGAAATCCAAAACTGTATACACATTTCTCAAACTTTGAAAAAACATTACACTGCGTACCATAAACAACAAAACAAGATTTTTGCTATGTAAGGCTCAGGGGAAAGGAATAGAATTTTTCAACTCAAAGAGCAAAAAATGTAAGTTGCTGATAATGTCACTTTGTTCTGTGCACCGTGAAGAAACAACTCAGGAGAAAAGAAACATTAACTTTCACTTCACAACCAAAAACAACATTCATTCTCCCTTGTTAACCATTTTATCCCACGTTCATTTTACACCACTCACTAACATTGTTCACGTTATTTCAATGTTTAAAAGTGATTCGGGTAGAAACTACCCTAAAATTAAAAATGAGTTGCGTTAAAATTTAAAGTATTGTATTTGTAACAGTGTTGGCATAAATAAGCACTAACAGGGTTTCTGCAACAGCAATAGGGATGCTATACACATGGTGGAATTACACATTATTTTACTGGCAAAGCAGAGTTTTTTTTGCTAAAAGTGCACCTTGAGAAAGACCTGTTGGCTAAATACACTGGCTTTATCTTGCCTTGCATTAGAATTCCGCAAAAGATTGCTTTACCACGTCACTCGAGCCCAACAAAAGTCGACAAATTGTTTGAAATGTCGACAAATTGTGTTTATTGGCGTTTACATTGCTTTCACAGCCTCTGAATGTGTTAAAATTGCAGATTAGTTTTTTTCCACTGGATTGAAAATCGATGATGTTCATGGGCTGGCTTGTACATCATTCGTATTGCGCCATTGTATCCCAGAGCAAGAGCTGTTCAACTGTGCAAGCTGACTGTGCAACGATGAGCTTTGCACCGGGCCTACAGATCTCCTGGAAACAGCACTGCCCGTAACAGGGGTGGCGGCACCTAGAGAAATATCGGACAGCTTGGCACTGCATCATGCCTCCAGTCTGAAAAGGCCGGTATCGTTATAGCAAAGTTCCATTTAAAACTAATGCAAGCCAATGCGTGAAGGGCTCCAACCTCACATTTAAAAATCATACGCATACAATCCTTCGCAGTGTGCAGCGTCATCAATACTAAACACGAGGACACAGCCTAAACACACTGTTATGAATATGATCGGCATGTGTTGCATCTACGCAGTTCGCTACCCTCGAGTGTAAGTTAACGCAAGAGACGACCCTCCACCGTAAAGGTGGTCGTCCGCCAGCAAATTTGGTAGGCGAACGTTTATAGTGGCCATGTTCCATGGCTCGGCAAGGTGGTGGTGGTGCGGATACTTCAGGCGAAAGCTGGGGGCGGTTGCGTGGGTGGCGGTGGTGGCGGCAGCGGCGGTGGCGGCAGCGGGCAGCGGCAGCGACGGTGGCAGCGACGTGCGCTATACGTCCTGGCTGGTGCCGGGGCCCTGGGGCTCCGAGGAAGGGGCACTCCCCGGGGCGGGATAAGGCCCGGAGAAGGCGTGCTGCGCCGTGGCCGTGCTCTCTCCGCTCAGGCTCGTGCGGCACACAGGGCACGTGTCGTGCTGCGCCCGGTGAGAGACGGTACAGTCAGTTGCGTTGTTTTAATGCGCTGCTCTGTTGATCAATTATTGCATAAGTTGCGATTTTATGAAAATAAATGTCTGTTTATAAAAATGGACAATTGTTAATCTTTCCCATTTCGATGACGTGCACGTGCGTGTACAGAATCGGAATAAAAGCTAAAATTACACATCCTTATTGATCCGTCTTGAGGCTCCCACAAGGCCATGCGGGAATAAGTGTGGCACAGTTTGGCACCAGCTATCATAAAATGCAGTCGTGTTGCTATAGTTCTCTACGATGAGTATGTCTTTAAAAACAATGGCGCTATGCCTCTCTAAATAAAATTAATGCTAACCGTTTGCCCATTCCGAGATTCAACGGTGAACGGGACCCACCTTGCAACTTGCAGACGTTTCGGAACGGGAAAGGGTTAAGTTGCATGTGATAACAATTTTCTGCGAGGTGGACAATGATAAAGTTAATGTGACAATGCGTTTAAGTGAAACAATAGTAGAGATGAAGTGATTTTTTTTACGAATTAATGGTGTCTAAAAGGATCATCAAAGCAAATGCAGTTCCAAAAAGTGGAGAGAGAACATCACAGAAATAGTTACAATTCTACAGAAATTGTGAAAAGATGTTTGAAAAAATTAAGTTGAAATGGTTCAGCTGGTTAACTCTCACCATTTCTAGCCACGGGATAATGCAGTCCGTGTGGTAGATGTGTTTACAAGGCAGCTGCCTGGCTTTCTCCCCTTCATCAAAGTCCTCTTTGCAAACGGAGCATTCCAAACCGCAATCTACATGAATTCCCACGCACACAAACACACGTGATCGCATGCTGGCAATAACGTAAACTGAAAATAACATATTTTTCATATTTTACATTCTTTAAACAAATAATTTGGTGGCAGTGGTTGGCGACCTTAACTTGACTCCTGACGACAGCCAAAATTTGTGATGAACGATATCTGAATTGATTCTGGGCCACCCCCAATTCACCCACTGGCATTAATGAGCATAGTGAAGTATAGTTAACCCACATGACTGACACGGCATGAAGAGAACTCCATCCAGCAGTGGATCAACAAAGGGTTTGTGTGTGTATATATATGCACGAGTGTGGACACAGGTGTACAAAGTTTATGTGGACATGTAGAATTTAGGAATGCTGCCATGGTGTAATATTTAGATCACTAGACTTGCAATGCATAGGTCGCTATTTCAATCTCCCGACACAGCAAATTCAAACAATGGACAAGCTTCTTAAATGCTCCCACCTTTGTCAACCCAGCAGGAAAAATGGGCACATCAGTCGATCAGCAGATCACGTGTGCTTCGTTCTAACTTTTCCAAGCCTTGTTGCCAGGGTGGAGAAGTAGACCAAATACCCTCTACAGGGTCCCCCTAGCGGAGGCCTTTCCATCAGCAGCAGTATGAGCAAACAATTGCAACACTACATCTTTACCTAAACATTGAAAATATATTAAACTGAGATCAAATATACTCGAAGACAATGATATATTGGTGTCCCCATCATGCTGTATGAGGCACATGCTCACCGACTTGCTCTGATGAGATGCTTATGGTTGGGATAGCCATGATTTTGTCTTTGTCAGCAGGTGGCGGGCCAGAGTTGTCCAGCTGTCCCAGGAGCTGCCAAAGCAAAATGCAACAGCGTCATCGACCGGCCAAGAAACCACACTGCACAATACCCAGTGAGCAAAAAGTATCTGTCCAATCTGACCTATAAAAAAAACACAGGGCCAATTGCTTCGTAAATACAATTTATGCGTCGACTGAAATTTAGTTTTGTAGCACAAGAGGCTACTTGTTAGGAACAACCACTGTAATGTGGTGCATTGCACTTTGCATGATTTATTACATTGAAATTGAATTATTTATAAACGGTCTCTGAGTAATGCAACGATTCAAGAATAATTATGGTGGATGTTTTATTATTATGCAGTGGAATACAAGTGGGAAATTTAATGAGTTCTGGTGTGCACTGTGGGCTTAGGCGCAGTACCTGCGTGATTATTTGATCAATGCCGTTTACTCCCCACACGTAGTCTCCAGGATCAGAATGCAGGGCTCCCCTAGACAACAGCAATGGTACATATTGTACTTATTGATCTGCAGGCTTTTAACATTTTTGCAAAAATTGGTCTTTGAATGCAAATATCCCGTGGGAGATGCCAATTAAATTATGCTTACCATGGTGCAAACTGCCGTCCGAGAAAGCTTCCTAAAAGGTGCTGAATAATCCTGTAGAAACATAGCGAAAGTCAAAGTAAAATAAATGAGCTATTATTTCTATGCAAATGTTTGGAGTTCTACTTGATATTCTCAATGTTTATATATGACAAAGCACTCCACTGAAACACGCATATATGAACCTTATGGCGGTACCCCGGGGTACCATAGTACCCCGCCTCTCGCATAATATCCGTGATGCAGTCATTTTTAGTCTGTTGATGGTCGGCGATGCGGAAATCGACTCATCTCGACGAGCTGTACACGATGCACTGTGGTGCGTACGAGCGTTCAGGGTTTCAGCGCAATTGTCTTCGCTGCGTTTCGACATCATGGATTAGCACTGATTTCGGATTGATTGCTACCCCAGTCGCGGAGTTATGTACACCCCTGGAAAAAATAGTGACCCAGAAATAAAATATTTAATTGCCTTGCCAATTTTGTATTATTTGGTATTCCGGGGTACCGCCATAAGGATCATCTATACAACATGTTCTCTGACTGTGATAGTTGGAGGTTGTGTTTTAATTGAGTGTGCTGTACCAATATCACTTACATAAACAATACACTTACATGTGCCATTTCCGGGCAATCCAGTGATGGTGCGGATCCTATAGTAATGGAGCCATTTGTTACATTTGAAAAATATAAAGACTGCACCACGGCATCCAAACCAACTCTCTTCATCACTATGCAAGTGTGCTCAGTAACAGTAAAGCGCAAATGAATATCGCCTGTATAATCTTCTCTCGACTGCAAATTACCACACTTGTCTTGTAAGAGGTCTTTAACTGATGGCTAAATAGAACTCTAAGAAGTGATGTTCTTTTCAGTGCCTCCTTAAAACACACAATCCATGGAGTTCAGAAAATGACAGCCCCCCCCTTTGTCTCTTGATCTCGGACACGTACCCTTCGACGGAGGGGGCCCGTCCGTTGTGCGTCTGCAGAAATGTGTTGCCAGCGCTGTCCCGACTGGTGCTCCGTCCTTGCCTCTGGCTGTCCCATCCTCGGCTCGTATCTGCTGGAACTGATTAAATTATTATTTTTACCTTGGGGAGTCCTGGGGTTCATTATACTTTGTTTATGGGGGAAGTGGGGGGCCTCAAGAGGACTAATAATCTCTGTGCGCGAGTACCGAGCCAGCACTGCTGAGACCTAGCATCCAAATCCAGACAACTGCTTGCGATTAAACTGGGTTCTCACGTCTAATGAGTTCATCGTCACTTTCAGGATTACTCATCATTTCGTTCAACTAAAATTAGTTGTGTTTGATTTCTATATGATGAATACCTCTACCGCAGGGCAAGTGATAATGTGCACTATCCAGTGTCATTCTTTTATTATTCGGGAGGGTCATGCTTGGGATGTTTGGCAAGTTTATTTGAGTATTTTTTGCACAATGGAGAACTGCATTGGCCAGTGAAAGCTCAACACTCTGCAGATGGAAACCTTTGTGTAACACCTCCTTCAGGTATTTTGCTCCACATGAAGTCACTGACCGTGTGGAGTGAAATTATGCCCATCACTAAAATCCATGGAAACACACTGTGCATTTGCGCTTTCAGATATCCGCACACATTTACACCACAGCTATGCAATTTTCTAGTGAGTGGGCAGTACGTCAATGGGTGTCAACAGGGCTGTTAGCTGGGAGTGCTTTCAGTTGTATACACTTTCCCCAAAAACTTGCATTTCTATCAGAATTTTACATGAATTTGCTTTAACAACAAACCTCTCGGAAGCGGCTAAACGAAATAAAGAAATAATGAGTATTCTATCAACCATATAACTGATCGGAACACCGTCACCGTTCACACAAAGCAAGTTGTGCCCAGGAGGCTATGGTGTGCGAATGTGCACTCGCAATTCTCAAAGATGGAATTCGGTGAACCCGTTACCCTTGGATGTCACGTGCTTTAGATTTATTTTATGTATAAAGTATTCAAGCCGGTCAAATAAATCTCTTCAGCCTTACAAATCCAGAAAAATATCAGCCTTCCACCTCATGCTTCCTGGTGATAGGGATTCATATTAAACCGTTCAGTAGCAATGTTTTGCAATGTTACATTTTCAATATTAACCAATAAATATTGAGTTAAGTAATATAAAATCATAAAGTTTCAATTTAATATCTCCAGTGTAGTAAAAAGTAAGGAAGATATTTATTTCATTATTTGCAGTATGCAGGACATTTCACCATAACCGGAATATTATTCCCCCAATTACTCTGTCTTCGAGAGGCTTTTCCTGTACTGGTAAATTTAAAAAGGCACATTACAATGTACTTAAAAAAAATAGCTGCGGACTATTAAGAATAGCCTGATTTTGAGCACTGCAGGTACATTTCACACCGAGTAACTCCAATTAAAGGAATCGTATAAAACCATTTGCATACTTGAATATAAGTCACCTAATGTCGAGTAATTTTTGCAGGCTGATTAATCTAGCTCAGCCAGATCAAACCTGTATTTCCAGAACAGTCTCCTTATTAGGCATGTATACATTTATGTCTTAAAATCTATGATTTGTTTAAAACAGATTATGAGCAGGGACCAAAAAAACCTAAAACATCAAGCAGCCAGCAACAAAGCCCACTATTGAAGTTGTAAAAGATGTAAGAGTTAAAGTGTTTTTTGAACTGATCAAGGTTATAAGAGCCGAGGAAAAGAGACGGTGAAGAGAATTCTCCAAAGTCGCACAGAGGGAGGGAAGAAACAGAATAAGAAGCGTTTTGACTTGCAGAATGGTATGTATGTTAAACTTCTTTCACACTATGCATATCCAACCGTGTTAATCAGAGGTGTGGGTGGTTGGGCACTGTATGAAAACAGCATGCTTATGAAATATGAATAAAATAATGTGTCTCGGATTGATTATGTACATGTTATGAAAATTACAATAATGTCTTTTGTTGAGGAAAGCCTGCCTGAGTCTCAAGATTATTTTTCAGGAGGTTCCTGCATCGAGATATTCGACCAATTCCATTTATAGGTGTTTTGAATATTTGACTACCCAGAAGAATTCATGAATATGATGGGGATTGCACACAAAGCTCTGCACAGGTGGATTCAATCATTCATTTGCTGTCCTGCCATTTCCAAAAGATAAGTTGAAGCCACACATTTGTAAAATACATTGATGATTCAGAGGAATGGGATACCATAGACAGGTGGGAAGGCAGCCAGAACCAGCACAATCAATTTCACCAACTCTGTAGCCATAAATTATGATGTTTGACCAACTCTATTAATGTGTAATTATAAATGTGGGAGCACCCAGAGAAAACGCAACACGTGCAACGGGGTGGGGGGGGGGGGCAAATACTCTACAATCCCTGTACAGATGGAAACAGATGGAGATTATTCCACTTGCAGTACTGCCAACTCCGGCAGAGCTAAGGTATGGCAACCTCGATGCCCAGGAGATGGGAGTTTCACAACATCCACTAACCATCGCCTCCACAAAGTAATGGATTATCGGCATGTGCCTGGTTTGTCATCTCACAAGCTCAGGGGGGGTTTGTAAATTTCACAAATCTTTATGTGATCCAAACAAACGCCTCCAAACTGCAAGGATTATAGGTCTGCACAACATCATGTCCAGCTCAATATGCTAATGCGCCTTTAGGCTGATAGACCGGACAAGCCACAACAAAAGAGGCAGATCATATGAGACTTAACACAAATCGGTACAATGACTAAGAACAATTGATGTTTGAGCTGAATTGTGACTTTAAAAAGTAGGGGAGGATGGAGGGTATGTTCATCCTGACATGCCTAATCATTATGAAATAATCATGACTCAGAGCTGGTATGGGTACTGTAACCAACCTCCTTGTTCCCTCTCCTCTTCATCGTCAGACGAGCTGGGGCTTGCTGCTCTCCCATCCTGATCCCAAGACCGGGCCAGGGTAGATGGGTCCTGTACGAACACCGATTGCCACAAGAACTGTGGCAGAAATAAAAAAACAAAAGCGTTCACCAAGATGCGACAAATGCCAAGTAAACACTGTCAATAAATATTTATCAGACAATGCATATGCATATTAATACAAATGTGAGTCCACGTGAATACTCTGGTCATATTAATGTATCAAAATACCTCTTAAGGTGAGTTGATGAAATGGAGACAAATCAATAATTTGGTATTTGTTGATGCCGTTTTTGTGCAGAAATGATAGACTTTCTGTACAGGGATAAGCCGGATAAATCTATTATTAGCCAGATGACTTTGAACCCCAATATTTTTGCCATATGTCAAGTCTGTTTTCTTGTGGTGCACTGCAGCCTGACCACTGATTAACCACTTTATATTAAAAAAAAATGTGGCATTTTACATACCTGGTCCAAGAGCATGTATGGGTCTTCTTCATACACCCTGGATCTGTGATTGATGGTACTCCTGGCAAGAACAAATTACAAAATCAAAACGTGCATATCATAGATTCATTTCAATCGAAAATTCAACTCGTTGGCTTATTTATTAGCATGGTTGGCTACGTATGGTGCGAAAGAAGTTCAACATACATACATGTCAATAAATAATTAGCATGCGTGTTGAAAAGGCAGCCTGCATTTGGCTTATCCTTCTCCGTGTGTTCCTTTTGTTTTGTTAGTACTTACCGAGATCCTCCCGCAGGCAATTCCTCAATGAACCCGGAGTCACATCTCGGGCAAGTGTAATCCTAGATTAAACGCACGAGTCAGTGACGAGCATCACAAACAGGTCGCATGAAACCCACTCAAGTACCCCCCCCCCCCCCAACTGGCCAAGTGCCACGTTTGTGAATGACATTCGATGCAGTATTCATCTCCAACCAGCAGGGATGCAGCCCTAAACGTCTCAATGGGACAATTCAGTTGAGGGGTGTACCAGCTGCATTGTGTATGGAGTTAGATATAAGACACCTGCTAGTTTTCTAGGTTAACTACATGGGGGAGGAGGATAAGTGTGTTTGCAGCCATGTAGTAATGGCAGTAACGCATTGGAAATTACGGTGTAAACTGTACTTGCATGTTAAATAACTGGTGTAAAAGAAAACCAACTGACATGTAATGTTGCATGAATTCATCAATTACAATTATGCTCCCGCGAGATTCATCAAGTTGTGGAATTATACATTATTTTAGATACAGATTTAGCAAATGGTTATATTAGCTTTACATTTAGGCTACTGCAACGAATAAAAATGTACCAATGATACGGAATAAATACAAATGACACTAAATAATGAGACAAAAAATTATTCCTGATTCGATTCGTGACCTCAAATCGTGACGATCCATCGAATCAATGGAAGGGGGTTAACAGGGAAGGGTAGGGTTGAATCATTCAGGACCCAGGAACCAGGTCTCTGTGGTGAATTGTGCCGTACATGCAAATGCTGCAAGGTGATTTCATCTCACAACACTTAGTTTGACTTCCCCTTCGCGGTGGACCTTTCCATCACGCGCAGGAAAAAAAGTACAGGAACAAGACACCCATTTCTATATTCGCAAATACAAGCGGGGGCGGGGGGGGTGGGACTTTTGAGACCGTGCTCAAGCTTGTCTGCACACATCGGCCAGCACGCTGTGTAAAAAATACAAAGAACAAAAAACACGGAGCCAGGGGAGGTGAAAGAAAAAAACATGTTCACACTGCACAAAATGTCAATACAGCGTTGGTGATAGCGTCACTCCAAGCTTGTAAACACAACCCTTGTACCAAGATACCAGACGCACAAAAAAAGACAAGGCCACAAACTAACCACACTTTAATGTTGAAAGACATTATGGGTGCAGATGGCAACAATATGTTCGTTCTCGTGTCCTCCAGCCAAAGGGTGAAGTGTAATCATTGGCACCCAAGACACAGACAGTGAGTGAGTGAGTGGGCCCACCGTCCACACTGGCAGTGATGGGGAGATTTTCTTAATAAAGGGGGGCACAAGGCACAGCATCTCATGTCACTCCTTCCAGACACCAAGCGTACAAATAAAACACACACCGTCAATTCTAGAGTAACCCCACACCACTACCGGACACAAATCAACTGTACTTAGAGTCACAAACACACCCCAACCATTCTATAATCAAGCTATCACTAACGAGAAACGCACCAAATGTACCATTAAAAATAACCCTAGGAGATTAACACCACCACCACTCTACCAACCCTAACCAGACCTCCAGCAAACGGAGTTCACCCCATATGGATGCACTAGACTGAACTAGACCGAGACCAAACCTGCCAGACACATGTGTCACCACCCATACCCGCCCTAAACAAATACAACACAAACCTAACCAGATGCACACCGCCCCTAACAGACCCAACATCATAACCAGACCCACACCACCCCCCACCATATCCACCCCACTCCTACCACACCACATGCACACATATCCACCAAACACACATTACTACCAATACCTATGTGACAACCAGTGGCACGCCACGACTGTAAAGATACACACAGCAACCTAATCGTACCGACACTACCATCATACCTACGACCCCTACCGTCCCAAAACGACCATCAGATCCACACCACTCATTCGATCCCACAACTATTTCGGAAACACCCCAGCACAGTCATAACCACCCTCAACCCACATCGCCCCTAACATATACACACTCACTGAACCGACCCGACCAATGACACACTCACTCACCGTAACCACACCACATAACCACACCACATAATAACCACATAATAACCACACAAGCCCGAACATAAAGGCAATGCCCCCCCACCGCCCCCATAGCCATACAATTGTCGGGGCCAGGTGTTGTGAGCGAGCAGTCCAGTACTGTAACCCACACCACCATCATCACCATGGCAAAAAAAAACACCCCCATTAGTACCACACCACCCATAGGCCGTATCCTAACCTTGAATTCTACCACCACAATTACCACCGACCACTACGACACCCACACGCACCACCTCAACCATAGACCGGGCCACCTTCACCATGGCCACACCGCCCCCATCAGACGCGCACCGTCTGCCAAGGCCCTCACCACCCTAACCCTACAACCCACCACCACCATCACAAGGCCCTCACCACCACCACAACAACCTCGGCGCCCACACCACCACTACAGTTACCCTCTCACACCACCCACAATCTCAAGAACATTCCAGCGCCTTGTCCTACCCTCGGCTTCCAAGCGCCCTCCCCACCACCACCAACCAAGCTTCACACACCCGGCTATGTGCCTACCCCCCACCCCTCTCTCTCCACAGCGACCGCCTCGTGAACGTCTCTCTCTCCCCGCGAATGAAGGCGCGGGAGGAGATGGAGGGGTTTGTGCGCGGCTCACGGGCAGCTTGGGGTCGATCTCTCGCGTGCACTGGTGGCAGAAGTGCGTGTGCTGCTGCTGCTGCGGCTGCTGCGGCCCCAGAGCCTCCGCCATCGCGGCGGTCGGTGGCGGACAGGGAGGAGGCGGGGAGTGACGTCACCGCGAGAGGGGGGGGGGGAGAGGGAGGAGGGAGGGAGAGGGGGAGAGGGGGGGAGAGGGAGAGGGAGGAGGGAGAGGGGGGAGAGGGGGGAGGGAGAGGGGGCGAGGGGAGAGGGGGAAGAGAGAGGGGGAGAGGGGGGAGAGGGGGGGAGGGGGGAGAGGGGGGAGAGGGGGAGAGGGGGAGGGAGAGGGGGGAGGGAGAGGGGGGAGGGAGATGGGGGGAGATGGGAGATGGGGTGAGGGTGAGGGAGAGGGGGGGAGAGCGGGGAGGGGGGATAAGGAGAGCGGGGAGAGAGGGAGAGAGGAGAGGGGGGAGAGGAAGGGGGAGAGGGAGGAGAGGGGGGAGAGGGAGACGGCGGAGAGGGAGAGGAGGGAGAGAGTGCGAAGGAGAGCGAGGCGGAGAGCGAAGGAGAGAGAGCGAAGCAGAAGGAGAGCGAGGGGGAGAGCGTAGAGGGAGAGCGGTGAGCGAGGGAGAGGGCGGAGAGGGAGAGAGCGGAATAGAATATGAAAAAAGAGAAAGAGAAAAAAAGAATAAGGTTGAAAAAACAGAAAAGAGTTGATAGTAAAAAGAAACAAAAATAAAGAAAAAAATTAGATAAAAAAATAAAAGAGAGGGAGCGGAGAGCGAAAAAAAAGAAAAAAAATTCGAAATGATGAACGAAGCAAAGTGCCGACTACACCGAGCATCTTCTTGTTTCCACTGATCGTAAAAAAAAGAGAGGAGACAGAGAGCGAAGGAGAGAGCGAGAGAGGAGGTGGGGGAGAGTGCAAAGGGTGCGCTGAACACGCACGCGAGCACGCATGAGTACAGTACCTGCCAAGCCATGCGGTTTACGCCGTGTTCCTGTGCAGGGAAATTGAGTTTGCAGGTCCATACGGCGTTACACGCGTTTCAATACGGTCAAAAAACCCCGTTTTTGTCTATTTGTTCGTGTTTCTCCCTTGTGACGGCACTGTGTAGGATGAACGTTGAGATGTATCAGGGTACAGGGTGACCAACAAGGTCTGAATTGGCCTGTAATCAGTTCGGGCACTGATAAGGGGTTGACAGGCATGCGCATGTGTTGCAACATATGAAGGTGCAGCCCCTGCAATTTCCTGTTCACGTCACTGCTGGCAAAAGGGCCTCCCCCCTCCACCCCAACGATACGGAGGCTCAGGTCTACAGAGCCCGCCACCTGCAGAGATTGTATTTGGCCTACTCGTCTTATACGCTGGTCAGCCGTCTTGCAAGAGAAAAAAAATTACGAAATGATGAACGAAACAAAGTGCCGAATACACCGAGCATCTTCTTGTTTCCACTGATCGTAAAAAAAAAGAGAAGAGAGGTGGGAGTAGACCTACACTTGACCCCGGCACGCGTGACCCGCCAATCGACTATAACTGTTCTAGATTTGAAGCTTTTGTGACTGCAAGGATTCATACTCTTAGTTCTTTCGGTCAAGTCACGTAGGTAAAAAATGAAATTAAAATTAATAAAAATATTAAATGTTTTATTAATTATAACTCTTAGTTCTTTCGGTAAAGTCACGTAGGTAAAAAATGAAATTAAAATTAAGAAAAATACATTAATATTTTTTAATCCGTTATATTAAGTTCACTTGCTTGCTTGCTTGCGCGCTTACGACCGTGCAAATCCTTCGGTCGTTTTTTAACCCACTTCCGTGATCCAATCGAGCTGACATTTTGCACACAGACTCGTTGTGTGTGACAATTTATTTTCGTGAAATTTTTTTCCATAACTTTACACTTTTAAGGAAAAAATAAATTATATTTAATTACCAATTGCTTAATGGTGGCAGGCAATCATCTGACCCATAGGTGGCAGCCATCTCAAGCCAGAGGACGAGAGGACTCTAGCCGCCACGCATATAAAGGATTTATAGTGAAAAACTTTGTTTTTACGGGTTAATTTTTTTATCAATTTTTATTTCATTTTTTACCTACGTGACTTTACCGAAAGAACTAAGACTATAACTGTGGTGTTTCGCATTTATATTGCCGGGTGGACAGAGGCTACACACACACACACACACGTGTAGTACTACTGCGTGTGTGTACAGGAGAACTCGTCTTATCCATGGTGACGTAAGGGAACAATATTGCCGATCCTATTATCCGTAAAAAAATCTCGGAAAATCGGATTAATTGCGACTCCCCTTATTCGTGAATAATTGCAAAGCAGGGTGGGAAAACGGCTGATAACTGCAGATAATAGGGGTTTTTTATGGACCCCACGAAATCGACAGATCATAGGAGTCGCGGTTGATCTGAAAATGTGTTTTTTTTATGATCGCTTCTGTTTTGATCGGTATGTTTTGGGGTTAGGTCACGTCGTAGTTTTATACCAAACTTATTCTCATTAACCCTCCACCACCTGACATGATTGCCACGGTTGCACAGATATTATTTACAAGTGCCAATGTCTTGATTAAATTCTGATCAATATATCTCCTCACCAGTGACTTAAGATTTTTCACGACTGAATTTAACATCAATAGATGACGCCGTTCACCTCAAATTGCCACAATACTTTTAATCAGTAAAAACGTAATGCTAGCCAACAGTGTAACTTATACTTGACATATTTTTGTTGTACAGGGCTTATTCGTACTATAAGAAACCAGGGACTTATGGGATTACAATTAGGAACGAGTGATGTTCTGTGAGCTACAGTATGTAAAACAAGGAATCATGTATGTCCACGTTTTTTATGCTTTCCAACACGCACTTGTCCTCGTAAGTATTGTCTTTAATAGGTTTTGGGACATTGAAAGAAACACATTGATATATCACACTCAATATTTTTTAATGAAACCAGCGATGTACACTCAAAGACTGGAATGAAAAATGTATGATTCTCATGGTGTGTTTTTAATAATAAACTATTTGCAATAATATTCTAAAGCAATGAATATTAACATAATCAAAAGACAGAGAGAGGGCTGTTGTCCCAGGAAGCACGCCAAACCTTGGGTAAACGTGAGCATGTGATTGGACTAACGTTTGCCTAACGTTCCTTGTTTACTGGGGCTTGCAGGGTCAACACTAAACACAACCTTGCGTTACTTTCCAGGATATATCGTTAAAAAGAATGACAAATTTCCACAACAATATACAATGGCACAAGGCTGTTGCTGCAGGGTCTCTATATTTCAAGTTCATTTATTAGGTATAGCCCTGTGAGCCATTCAGCTCTTGAATCGGGTGCAACCGCAACAAACAAAAAACAAAAAAACATCTTAAAGTGAATATATATGGGATACAGGAGTGCGTGGGTTCAATCCCGATCCTGACACCTGTATATTTGGAGTTTGCATGTTCTCTTCGTGGTTGCGCGGATTTTCTTCCAGGTCTTCCAATTTTTCCCTCCACATTTACAATCAATGTGCATTTAGATTATTTGGCTGCTATAATTTTCCACACGATTAGCCACTTCGTTGAGCTATAATTTGTGGCCAGGTCGCTTCTTAAAATAGCTATATAACTCAGTGGACCTTACCTGGTAAACTAAAACATAGTTTAAGTCTCAACCAATATCAAATTTGCTTCTTCTTTCCAGAATATTAACTTTAAACCAATCTGCAGTCTATACACGCCTGTCAAATATGTTTGGAAAGGGATCAGTATTTTTTCTTCATCAAAGAGCCAAAATAAATGTTCAGCCTCTTTTTATCCCAGCGTAAAACACATCAAAAGCATAACCTCCATGTATCAGAACCAATTAATCAATGTTACCAATGTACAACATAATGTTTGGCCCATCCTCAGTTATTATGACATTCATCACGGACATTAACAAAAAACCGAGCATCGAGAGGTGCATGCTTAAAATGACACTGATTTAGACTTCATAGAGTATACGCAGATTATACTGGTAGGCACCTCCTGGTTACACCAGCCCACAGGGGATTATTGTGTCCGTCCGTCCGTCGTGCAGGGAGGGGCGGGGAGGGTGGGGAGGGGCTGGGTGGGGAGGGTGGGGCTGGGTGGGGAGGGTGGGGCTGGGTGGGGGGTGGGAGGGGTGGGGCTGGGTGGAGAGGGGCTGGTCATCCCGTGGTGCCCTTATAAAACTCAACGTTTAACCTACTCACGCCGGCTTGTGCCCGCCCTCACAGTCGGCCATATTTGCGGAATACACCACGCCGCCGTTGACCCTGGCCATTGACCGAGCAACCCAACGTTCCTACCAGCTCCCTCCGCAGGAATGTGTTTGACATCAACCTAATAGAAGTGGGCTTGGACAAAGACAAGGGGCCACCCTAGACTAGCTGCCCCCACCCCCAGATCTTGGCTGAGGTTTTTGGTAAACTGGGAAAAAATTTTGCCCCTATTTTCCGTTTATTGTTTTTTTTATTTAACAGAGGCATACTTGTTCGGTTTGTCCGTCCGTCCATCCAACCAATATTCTCATAAATATACAGAAATTTATTATAATTCATATTCCCTCTGTATGCGCATGGGAATTGAAATGGCATCTTCGTTATTTTTTGTATTTGTATATTTTTTTCCTCGAATTTGGCGCCCCACTTAATTTGACGCCCTAGGCGACCGCCTACTACCTCGCCTATATGGCCAGACCGCCCTTGACAAAGACCCGTCGTTAGAAGGGATTGTGCCCGATGGTCGAGAATAATGACAGAGTGGCAGCTGAGCGAGTGAACACGCTGGCGAGAGAACATCCACCGGGGAGATGGAGCGATGAAATCAGACCATGTGCAGGTACCGTTTGTCGTCTTACATCGCAGGACCGTGGGAGATTACGGACAGCGTGGGGAGGCCTTGATCAAGCATTGGATTGAAGAGGACCACAATGGCCTTCTTTAGGAACTGCTGAAGGTTTTTGCATGAGCAGAGGCTCTTTAGACATTTTGATGAGTATGGTTTTCCAGCCTGTACCGTCATTTGTGAAGTTGATGTGTTTGTCTCGAAATTGACATCGTTAATTGTTGGATTGATCATGGCTGGTGACGACGAAGATGAATTGATCATGGCCGATGATTATGTATCATCACATTATCTTCCGAGCCGATAGAAGACGGCCGCACGTCAATTTGTGCCTGTTTATCCATCGGGTAAGTCCCTAATAGCAACACAACCTGGCACTATAATGTAGTTCAATTATGGATCATCGTTACAAGAGTTATTGTCACCTCCCTCCCCGCTCCAGACAGACGGGACTAATGCATTAATCATTAATGCATTCCACCTTAGTTGGAAAGCGATACAAGCCCCAGGAACCGCCCGCGAATCGCAATGAGTGGTGCACCTTCTTCTGGATAAAATGTGCTATTGCATCTGATGAACGTCGTATCGATGCCTTATTGCAGGGGTGTCCAAACCTTTTGCAAAGAGGGCCACATTTGATAAAGTGAAGATGCCCGGGGGCCAATAGTTCCTTTTGACATTTTTTAAACCACAAAAGTTACGTGAAAATACACACTGTTATAAAACTATTTATATTGTCACAATTAGCTTTATTTTTAAAATGACAATGTAAGCAAATAAATTGCGACCAGCCCATCCCCACCCAGCCCCACCCCACCCTCCCCACCCAGCCTCTCCCCACCTCCCCACCCAGCCCCTCCCCACTCTCCCCTCTCCATCCAGCCCCACCCTCCCCACCCAGCCCCTCCCCACCCAGCCCCTCCCCCCCACCCAGGCCATCCCTACCCAACCCCTACCCACCCAGCCCCTCCCCACCCAGCCCCTCCCTCCCCACCCAGCCCCTCCCTGCACGATGGACACAATAATCCCCTGTGGGCTGGTGTAACCAGGAGGTTCCTACCAGTATAACAACGCGCTCAGCATAAACACTGACCGCACGCTCATCACTCACAAAAAAGTGCCGTTCACACTCAGCATGTACCGTCAACACTTCATTCATCAGTCATAGGTGAAAGGTGTCTGGTGAGCGGTGTGGGTGATCATTGGTGGGGTGAGTGATGAAAAATGTCGGGGTCTCCCCGACCCTCTGCTCATAATTCAGGGCATTCATGCTCTTTGGTTCTTTCGGTAAAGTCACGTAGGTATAAAATAAAACCAAAGAGTATGGATCCCTGCAGTCACGAAAACTTCAAATATAGATTGGCCTTCATGCTGGTGAGCGAGCCTAGAGCTAAATCTGCACGGCCACTCCCTGTTCACCTTGCGGTGAATGTGCGACACGAATGCCCTTTGACTCCTATACTATTTATTTAAAGAGCTTAGATCTCCGGTCTCATCGACAGTATGTCGCGGTAAATTCTATTAGCGAGCAACTATGAAGGGGGTGGGCGGCCAACCCCACACCCGACCACCTTTGTCACCCCAGTGCCGATGATTACGCACCGCACCAAGAACTCGCTTTCGGCTGAGTCAACTTCCTCCGCACGAAAAGACAAAAGGCCCAAAAGAACTCGGCCCCCACCACCTTCTCACCGCGAACGTAAACATTTTGTCCGATACTCATCACCGTGGCCGATGGGTTACCGGTTCATTGCCACGAGGGGGCACTACGAGCGGCGCCGGCCTCGATCTCACAGACTGTGCAAGTCAGTCCTCCTCCAAACGTTGACAGTGCCCCACGTAAGATGTGTATATATCTGCTTGTGAGAGAATTGGTTTGAATTCTCATGACACTGTATACAGGCTAGAAAGCTGAAATGTAGCACAAACGCAATCAAATCTATGCTTATATAAATCCCAAAAATTTAGAAAAAAAATTCATTTGCCAAAAAAAACTTGGGATTGTTGTTACTTTTAGGATTTGAATTTAGGTCTACCACCAAGTGCTCTTTGCTGATGTCTAGTTAGACCATATAGAGTCCCATTTCCACCCCCCTCATGATTCTAAAACGTAACTTTCCTATATATTTGGCATTTCATAACTGTAAAAAGCACGTACGACCAGCCAAAAATGCCAAAATTGTCTACTATTCATGTACGTCTTCTTAAAAAAAATCTAGCTTAAATGCCATCATGCGCTTCCTTTATTAAGTGCTGTGTAATGACACACTTATTACACGAAAAAATGTACCGAGTTTTTCGTAGAGAAGGGGCATGTAGTTTTAGCTAGATTTTTTTTTCTTATACACACATTCTTAACCCATCATTAGCCATGTTCCCCTCTGCAATGTGAGTCAAGGTGTAGGCATCCTGGTTGCCATAGTTCCCATGTTACAAATAACCTTGCTGACCTGCATACCAGGCCATCACAAGGCTTCTGAACACTACCACGGGGGGCCTGCCATTAAATAGGGGCCCCCCAAGTTACTCATCGACTATTTTCCTCTGACCTCCGATCTGTCACATGAGTTTACCTCCTACGAGTGAAGCCCTCAGCTCCCCTAAATCACTTGGGCCATTCTCCCTCACTGGCCCCATCCTACAAGGTAATGCTCATTAACGCGAGAGTTCAACAAAGGCAAATATTTTCTGTTCACTACAAAGATTGCTTCAGCTGCCTCTACAGGCATCTAGGGTAATGGCCTCAAATGAATGCACCAAGGACACTCATTGAACTTCTACCCTGATAACGATTCTCACCCTGAACTTGGACTTACAAATTTGGCTTGGGCAGGTGGGTTCAATGTGACGTGAGCTTACGTAAATATGTCCATGCTGGCCAGACGTTGGGGACTGCAGCTTAATTGCTAAACCCACCCAATCAGCAGAGTTAAATAATAAAATTCTCTGCATCTGGTAGCCTTTTCGTTAGAACTTCAGTGTAATAATCATCCAAGCAGGTCATGAGCTGGGACCACCCCACTTGCACAACCACAAGAAAAGTGGTGTTTTGTCATAGCCACTTGGAATTGAGATTTCCCATGCTGCGGGCCACAGAATTTAGCTGTCAGAGGCATTTAGATCTGCACACAGTGACCTCACCAAGCAATTGGTACATGGCTGTACGAAGAGGGTAGGATGAGGGCATTACACTTTATCTTTCAATGAACCTCATGAAACAATGTTTATACCGTATACTCAACCGAACGCAAATAAACAATATTTTAAACACATACATTGTGCACAATTTATTATCTATATTGTACCTCCCACTCAGCACACCTCGGGATTAAGACAGCTTAACCCTTAAGACTCTGAGCAGCCAGGTTAGATATGAACACCAGATCAATTACACAATTGAGCCAACAATCAAGAAACAAATGCTGAGTTAGTAGTGTGTGTCTCATTCCATTTAGGCACTATATATAAATTCAAGTTGCATTATACTGCTGGTGTAATCTATCTTGCATCCTTACCAAGTAATCTCCAGTGAGGCCAGGAAAATGTCCAACTGTTAATAACTAAAAACGCAATTATTATCACTGTATATTTAAAATGAACTTAGAATCACGATCATGTTAATACTGCGTTATGAGTTCACGACGACGTGTCAACTGCATCTTCAGAGTCTCGTACATTTGTGCCGCATTCGTGTTTTCCCTGTTTTTCGGTCCAAGTGCATTCCTTATTCTCCCTCCAGGAGTACTCGTTGGTGTCATACACCTCCTGCAGATCCAAACACAACACCTTGTAAATCCACACGCAGAATTGCCCCTTAAATCGACAGAGTGGTAAACTTTAACTCTTCTAGATTTGAAGCTTTCGTGACTGCAAGGATTCATACTCTTAGGTTTTTTCGGTAAAGTCACGTAGGTAAAAAATTAAATAAAAAATTAATAAAAGTAATAATAGAAATAAAATAAAATATAAAATCACGACGTTTCGGAGACAACACAAGTCTCCGTCATCAGGTGGGACCGTCACAGCTAACTTGATGCAGTAATTTTAACCTTGACGGTCCCACCTGATGACGGAGACTTGTGTTGCCTCCGAAACGTCGTGATTTATTATTTTATTTCTATTATTACTTTTATAATTTTTTTATTTTATTTTTACCTACGTGACTTTACCGACAAAACCTAAGAGTATTTAACTCTTCTCACGCAAACTGCCAAGGGTTCCAAAAGCTTGACATCATAAGCTTGAGTAGAACATTGAAACTTTTTAAAATCAAATACAAATGACTGCATGTTTACAGTTTTTACTCAAGGCAAATCTTTATCCAATAAATCTGTTCACAAATTTTGTGAAAGCTTTTATTATTTCAATGGCATATCATCATTAAGTACAAATTATCTCATATTTGTTGAGGTTGTATTGCTAAGTGGCAATGAAGTAAACACGCAAAAGTATTCTAATACTCAGGAAAAATCACTGATTGATAGATGTAGGGGGAGCAATCATCAACAGCTTCTTCATCAGTTGGGTTACACAAATAAGTAGAACATACTAGGCCTAGTCGGCCTAGGGGAGACCCAGGACCAGGTCAGATATTCGTCATCATGTTAACCGTAGCTGGGAATGAAACTCATATCGCCAGGATCATAGCACAATCAATCGTTTTTATTTATTTATAGATTGTCTTTTAGCAATAAAATCGCCTCAAAGCGCTGCAACAGATATTTTATAAATTAAGGAATAGTAATTAAAATAATTGTGTACAAAACTACTTTAAAATAAACAGTGAACATAACGCAATCACTTGTCACTAAAAATGTATATTTTATAATCCTACGATAAAAAACAGGAACAGCAACATCTGACGGTGCTGTACAATAAGATCACAATGCATAAACAAATACAGGTAGTCCCCGACTTACGATGGTTCGACTTACGATATTTCGATCTTACGATGGCGATTTGACAAAATTGTAAAATATTTTACATTTCGCGCGGCAGGCAAACGCAGCAACGTACGAGGTACGATACTGTACGTTGGGACGCTGCCGGAATGTACGCATCTCCCGCCTGGTGTGGTGATGCCTCTCGCTCTCACCAGCGGTCGACGGAGTTAAGTTGTCACGGTGTTAGCGCGTGTATTTTTTTCTGTGTTTTTTGTTTTTCAAAGCCAAATTTGAGTGATAAAGCGTGTATTGTAATTAATAAATCCATACAGTATATAGTTTATACAGTACGGTACTGTAAATTGCTCTGTTTTGCTAAATTATCACCATTCTTTAAGACTCCTGGGTAGGCTCGGCCATTTTCGACTCACGATATTTTCGCCTTATGATGGAATCGTCGTAACGCATCTCCATCGTAAGTCGGGGACTACCTGTACATAATACAGCATGCTTACCACTACAGCATTCGTCCACCGATGATTGAGTAACTCATAATTGACTTCACAGGTCTGCTACCCTAATGTTCACAGCGACTCAACGGAGAGACAGCAGATTGGTTTCATTCTGAGAAAACTGCTCCCACTCACCTTCTTCCATATGGGTACTGTGGCCTTGAGGCTGTCGATGCAGTAGCTGACGGCATCGAGAGAGTCTCGGCGATGCGGGGATGACACGGCGATTACCACGCTCGCTTCCTCCACCGGCACCACACTGCACAAAACCAAATGTACGTCTGTTGAACTTATGTTGCGCCGTACATAGCCAAATGTGCTATGTACGGCAATGCAGACTGTCGGGCAAAGTGCTGTTAAGTGGGCACCGATTAAGAAAGGCACAGCGGCACACGCCGGGGTGGTGCAGCCGGACCCAGGCCTACCTACCTTTAACGCGCAAGTTTAGATGCTCGCACACTGGACTAGGCTACTCATTTAAGGCAGAGTAGAGCTAGGAGAGGCCCAGGACAAGTTCTGATACCGCTTACCATTTCTGTTGGCCACTGCGCCAACGCTCCCCACCACGTACATGCGTGAGAGCGTCTTGAGATGCTTTTGCATTTAGACACAATACGAATGTGCATTATTGTTGATGTTGATAGAAAAATAACGAGTGATTGGTTGCGCTTGCGAACCCGAGCCGGTGAGCCACTGCGATGTGCTCCAACGCAGGCCACTGGTGGCGCATCGCTGCGCACACCTTGCGCATCTCCGCAATCGCCATGGACTCGTAGGCCTCGTACTCCAGCCGCACCACTTTCCTCGCCTCGAAGCTGTCGCGTGTCATGCCTGCATACATCACAGCGTCCCCAACCCCGTTTACAAAAACGGCAACGGTCGGCAGGCGTCAATAAGCGCATGCGAGTGACACATTTGAGAATGAAGCACATGAAGGAACAAACGAACGAGGTGTCTAGTTCTCCAATGGGTTTTCGTGTTGTACCGTGCAGTTGTTTGGCATGATGTCCGACGTTTTTCTCCACGTGCTGGGAGCTTCTTCAGGAGCTGCATTGGAACCTCATGCCGAACAACACCAGGTATAAGCCAAAAACCCATCAGAGAGCTACACAGCGCAACCGGGAAGACCCACGCAGACGTGAGACGCCTTGCTTCATTTCCAAAATAAAATGTTATGAGGCTGTTGGCCAAAATGGCACTTTTGGACAAATGTTTCACAGCAGCAGCACTGGTGAAGAGGCCTTTTCAAGTGACTCTCAAAATACTTCTTAGACATCACCTCCCAGAGCCCTTCTCCGGCACAGGGTGCTGCACTGCAAGCTGTGAGTTTGGAATGGAAATTTGTTTGCCGTGTGACACGACTACGATGATGATAGTACAATGAAACATGCGAATGTGGGGAAGAAGAGTATTGTGCAAAACTGTACAGAATAATAACGTTTCGTATCTGTGCATACGCACAGTCTGCCAAGACAGCAAATTCGTATTGTGTACCGATTTGTAGGCATATGACCAGTGACCCCCCCCCCCCCCCCATTGTTATTCATTGTCACAATTTTGGGTTGCAAGTTAACATTTTTTTTGTCATCTAATTTTTTATTTTTACAAATAAAAATTCTGTCTCGCTTGTAAGTCTGTGAGCTCTGGTTATGTATAATGCCACATTTGCATATAATTTGAATAAAATCGTAAATAATAATTAATGCTCATTCACACAATTCGATGTGTGGACATATCGTGGGAGCGAGAATGTCTACTGATCGTGATCACGGCATTATATCACAAGACGAATCTGTTCCAGCCTCTCTCAAAGCAGTGCATTACCCCATGCTAGAGAATGACCCAAACAAGGAGATAACATACCTACTTCTGAGATCCCTTTAAGAGACTGCTTTCTACACAGTAGGGAGTGATACTTTCCTTACCGCCATACTACACAGATAAATGCGTGTCACATGACAGTGAAACTGACAGTTTTAATCCTCAAGAGCTGAAATGTATACAACATATGATGTTGGAGTTTATTTGTGCAAAGATTGGTCACTGGCCCAAAACCATCTACTCTCTACACAAGAGAACCCGGTTTAATCACAGGCAGCTGCCTGGAGTCGAGCCCAGGATCTCAACAGTGCCAGCTCCGCACTCTTGAGACACATGGCTACCTCGGCATGCCTATAGACTTGTCACTGTAAGTGCTGCCTGCTGCAGCGTGTCCGACTTGCCGATGAAGAGGGACACGGCCCCACAGCACGGGGCGGTAACGGCCGCCACTGCCTCCTCCACGCTCAGCTTGTGGTGCGACAGTGTCACCACATCCCTCTGACGGCTTGCAGCATCCACCATGGCCTGCGCGCAAACACCGTACCTGTCAAACACTGTCGGTGTAGCAACTGCAGTTTACAACAGTAATATCCTTAACAACTGCATAGGTTGACGCAGTTGTGCTGTATGGCCCTCCGATGTGTTTTCGGGTTGTGCTGAGAATTTATCGGCCAGATATGCGACGTTTTGCTCCACGTCCTGGGAGATTCAGGAGCTGAGGGAGCTAATACAGCGTTGTTGTGAAGAATTATGGGACAAAGCATGTTTAAACTGAACTCTGTTCTCGCTAAATAAAATGATTTTGTCCATTCGCCTCTTGGCTTGAAAATGTTAGCGTGGAGAGTAAATAGGCCGATGTACTAAAAATATTGTTTTATTACGTGAAGACATATATGAACACTTTTAGAATGTTAGGAGTTGATATTTTCAAGTGTATAAACACATCTGGTGGATGCGTTCTGAGAAAATGGATCGATGAAATGAGTTTGTGTGCAGGTGCTCGGTGGATTATTACCACACAGGATAGTGAGAGGTGGTGGTGGTGGCTTGGGGGAGCGGATTGACCACGGCTGATGATGATGATGTTTGTATCGTTATTGCTGCTCACCTGCCGCTAGCCGCCGCTCAGCGGGGGCACGAGAGCCACCTCCTGGCCTGGCTCAAGAAGAAGCTCTTCGTCACCCAAGGAGACGTACTGCTCCCCAACGGCGAGGACCAGGTTCTGCTCAATCACTCGGAGGCTGCGGGCAAAGTATGGGCATGGCAACAAGAAAATGTGAATCTCTGACAACGGCCTGCCATCATTGACTGCTGTTCACTTGATTCCTCATCCCTTACTCAGAGTAAACATTCCCATTGTTCTATTGGGTCTTGGCTGCGGTCGTTAGGACATTTTTAAAATTGTGTTATTCTTATTAGGCCCCATGGTGTAAAGTTCAGTCTCCAACCTTTATCCACGATATCTCTCTGGCCTTTATATTTATGTGCTATGAACAAGGGCGATTGCCTGAAACGTCACCTCTAATATATGTTTCCTTTAAATAATTCAGTGTTATTGTTTCCTGTGGTGAACCCACTTCTCATGGTGAAGGTGTAGAATTATTATCATCAACCCATCACAACTGAATAATTATTCAGGCCCGTCAACACTGTACCACCTGTGAAAAATAAAAGTGTAGTGCTCCCAGTAGTTTCCTGTTTAAATGTTTTAAACATAAATATACATGTTGCAAACTGGTTTGTGACAATGTAATGTTCCATTGACTTCTGATGTGAAGTGCATCTAAATTAAGATGATCAAATCATGCCACAACGATGTAGATTAACAACAGATTAATTAAACTAAATCAGATCGAATAATGTGATGTTTGCTGATAAAAACAGAGGTCTGGTAAAACATCTCACTAGGAACCAGGTCAGATGGCGGTCCATGGCTGATGTAATATTCAAGATGACGAGCGCGTCTGAGTGGACGTCTACCAATGAGGTGGGGTGATTACATTGGCTTGTGCGGGGATGCGAGGTGGATTATTAAATCGCAGGATCGTGAGAGATGAGACGGCCATGGCTTTAGGCTGCCTTCATCCGGCAGCGGATTAATCATGGCTAATGAGGATGATATTTTAATACAATTTTAAAATACTGGAAACATGTAAATGAGCCAAAGGGCCTCTTTGAACCTTGGATGGTGAGACACGATCTCCAGCCAGAGCTGCTGGGACGTGAGCTGCCTCGGCACAGTGAGGACCTCCCTCCTCGTCTCTGCCAGCTCGGCGCTCTTCGCAAAGTACAGCACCGTGATCTGGCCAGGGGTGAATACAGACGAACATTCACTGCCACCGCAGGGTCCCAATATCGCCGCCGTCATCAGATGCTGCTTCTGCTGTGTATGCTGATCGCGCCTGGTCATATGGAGTTTGTTTCTGTTTCTCCCATGTGCCTGTTTCTCCCATGTCCCTGTCTCCAGCCTTCACTTTCTGCGCTCTGCTTTCGTACGTGCATGTCTAAATGACTCTCGCGGTGCGCGTCCTGTATGTTGTTGAACTTCTTTCGCGCCGTACGTAGCCAACCGTGCTAATAATGGGAGATGCGTAGCCAACCCTGTATCTGCCTCTCCACGTCTCTCTAAGGTACACATGTATTGTCGTGTCTAAAGCACTATGCCCGTCTCTCTCAATGTCTCCCAGTGCCACTCTCCGTGCCTGTAGGGCCCCCACCACTCCAACCTTGTCCGGAGTGCGCAGTGCAACACGGTGAAGCCGGCGACCCGAGTTCGATTCCTGCTCACGGCCAACACCAAGTGACGATGAACGGAATGGGTCCTGGGCCTCCCCTAGGTCGACTCGGCCTCAAATGAGTACCTGGTGCGGTGTTGTAAACAATGACACTGGGGAGAGGCGTGGTTTCTGGCCACCCACCCCCTTCATTGTTGCTCGCTAACAGCACTTGCCCCTACAGTCTGTTGAAGGCTATATAACCTTGGCCAAAAAGTGCCATGCTAGGTGCACTTTGAGGCCACGTGATGTGTCGAAGAGCCCGCTGGCAGGTGACGGGACAGACCCAGGTGCCATGGGAAGACGGAGATGCCTGTGGCAGATTGCACCAACTTTGCCTCCCCCAATGTGCCAACCCTCTGCCCTCCGCTGTTGTTGGAGGGCGACTGCCTCCAACTCCCCCCACAGCATCCCACACAAACCTCCTCCTCCTCCAGGGGTCGATCTTGACACCGCTGGTACCGGTCATCGGCAAGTCCAATCTGCTCCACGGAATCCTTCTGTATACCCCACATCAGCCCGTCTCTTCTCCAGCCCGTGCCGCGCCCGTTTCGTCGCGTAAAGTAGAGCAATGAGTGTGGGCTACATGACCCAGCCAGCGCAGCCTTGCCGGCTGGAGTAGCTCACTAACGGAACTGTGTCCAGATCCTCGCAAAATCCATCCCTGGTCGAACCCAGGGATGGATCGCAGGCAGGGCCAGCCTGAAATGTGTCAAACCGGCGCAAAATGTTCCTTTGGAGGGCTGCACGTTTCGCGAGCATAGAGAAGGGAGGGCCATAGCCGTGGCCGTGACGAACCCGGTGCTTTTGTACGAGCAGGTAACTCACAACTCACACACTGACCTGCACCGCAGTCATTCACGTGGATATCCGGGCCGCCGTGTTCACCCGACAACACGTGGCATGTCACTTCCCCTTCCCACGCACCACGTGACCACAATTGCCTCTGTCTACCACAGGGCCCCCTCTGCGTTTTCGTCACATCCCAAAGAACGATCCAGTGCACATGGAACTTTTTGGGTCAACGTTGGGCAAACCGCATGTCAACTTTGGCGCAACGTTGCGTGTTTACTGGGAATGTGTTTCGTGAAAACGAGGAGCGTATTGCATTCACTGCCCATGGGGGCTTCAGACCAACGACTGGGTTTAGCTTGCTGGCCCGTGCAATGATCACATTGTACCAGCAGGTGGTAGCTTAGACCGACTAATGTTGCTTATGAACAAAATATATCCAATGCACAACTATGGTAATGTCTTCATTATGGGACCTCCTTTGCCAGTACCAAAATATGAGAATAGGTTTTCCACTTTTTTTCTGGTAACAGGTCCCATGATGTAGCTGCTCACCCCGAGCTCTCATTACTTTGATAGTGCTTGCGTCTTCTGGTCTAACACCGTTTTGAGACTAGGCTCAAAAGAAAGCTGTCTCTGGTGTGGACCAATCAGTTTCAGAGTACGTTTTTTGTTTGAATTCTGACCACAAGTATATGTGCTTAATGCTCAGATGATTCCTTGTAAAAGGTTTCAGTTTGGTGTATTAACATCCTAACACCTGTTTTCTTGCGATAAAAAAAGGAAAAACCAATTCTCATACGGTAATGTATATCTGACTGTTCTGGCCAATGAAAGGTAAAAATATAAAAACTAAATAGATGCCTGCAACAGTTTTCAGGACTGTACATGCAGAATGCGTGCCATAGCCTGAGGTTGCTCAGAGCACCAGCAAGAGATTGTTATTGTCCAAACGCAGTTTCCATCCAACGTTCATGATTGTTTAAAGTTTGTTTTGTTTAACCAGGAGGTGAGAACTCAAGAGATCAGTAGTCTCATTTGTAAGAGTGACCTGGGTCACCAAATTACAAAAACTAAATAAAGTACCAGCAATGGAGAAAATAGAAAAAAGAGCATTCGCAAATATTGCACAAATATAAATCATTGTTAAATAATAAATTCCTTGTCGTATAAATCGGTTCAGGTAGATAAATTTCTGACTGATCCTAGTACAGTTAGAATTAAGTTGCAGAAACATGAACGCGCTACAGGGTGACTATTGTACTAATCTATAAACAGTTATGGATATATGTTATGTTGACAGTATATTTTTCTGACCATGATCTATCCACTGCTGAATGAAGACCTCCCTAAGCTGACACCATCCCTGACGGTCTTGTGATGCAACACTCCATCTGGCACCTGCACATGAGCTCATCTGATTTCTCAATGTTTAAGGTGGTGATCCTCCCAGGCATGTACCGTTCTTTGGCTGCTACTCCATTGTCAATCTTAACCATTCGCTATTATCCGTTCTGGTAATGTGTCCTGTACAAGTCCGTTTTTGTTTTCTAGCTTTTGTTTAGTCTCTCATCTAAGTATTCCTCTTTCTTTCTCAATGTAATTCCAAGCATGCATCTCTCCACACTTTTGGTAAATTTCCTTTGTCAGTTTCCATTTTGGTGATCCACATGTCATAGAAGGTAATATGCAATTCAAGAGGCCTTGTGATGCGAATCCATCCTGAATAAACTACTGACACAAGAAACAATGCATTCAGTCGAATATGGGGGTCCACAGCAGAGAAGCTGTTGTCCCAGTTCTGTAATGTTGGCTTCAAAATAAAATGTGACACAAAATGTTTTGTGGCTTGAAAATAAAATGTGACACGAAATATTTTCAGCTTGAACTTTTAAAAAAAAAATATGCAACTGATCCTGTGACCTTGGTTACTCAACAGATCGGAGTTGCTTTCAAGATGTGTCAGTGGCTTACCACAACCGTGGTAGATGTGTGTTTTCACAAACAGTGCAGACGCCAAACACCAGTCATGTGAATGGCAGAAATAAAACCCCAAAGGCCAGATTACGTATTTGTCTGTGGTTGCGTGACCTGGACAACAATGCCAATTATTCACCGTACGAATAGATTCATGTAGAATTAAAGGCCGGAGGAACAAGCTAAGTATTAAAAGTACAGCGATGAGCACGAGAAATGTGGCCAAAGCCACAAAATGTGTACACACTTTATAGACGTTGATAGGTTTCGTGGGAAAGTCGTCAGTGCTTTGTGATCTTTGAGAGATTTCGTGAAAAAGCACTTGGGACAATAAGCATTTTAAGGCCAAATCTTCCTCGTAGCAAATAAAAAATTAAGTATGTGAAATTGAGATTTCATTGGTGCATGCAAAACAATTTTGCTTTGTGAAAGTAAAGAACCTGATCAACATTTATGCAAAAAGCGCTGTCGTATGCTTAGCACGTTTTTCATATGGGTTACGAACCACAAAAAAATGAGCAAACACACTGAATGAAAGTGGAGCATGAGTCGTCTGCATAAAAATGAAACAATGCCGAATCCTGACCACAATCAAATAAATTAATTCGTTACAAACGAATATCACATTGATATGGAAATGACCTTAAAAATGCTGGATTTTTTGTACACGCTTGCTTAAAGTAAGCGAGACAAATGAGATCGGGTTACATTACAGAGCCAGTCTATATTCTTGTCTTTAGACTAAATAAGTTGGTGGAGCTGAGTGTGAGTTCTTTATGGAAAAAATATATAAAATTGGACACCCACGGCACCCTCCCTTGGCACGTGCTATACCTGGCCATCAAGCTTCGTTTTCGGGAGATGTCATTCCCAAGGTACACTCGAGAGAATGGGGGAGATGGTGAAAGTGAGAGTCGAGCAAATGAGGAGACTCCTTACCTCAACTCAAGGCGAGTACACTCATGGGACCTAATTACCGAGACCCGCATTGAGCACCGCCACCCCCTGTAAAGCCACACGGCACAAACGCACACATTCTCATACACGCAATGCATTGTTAGTATTACTGTACTACCATTAACAACCATCTATAAGGCATACCAGATATTGTTCCTTATATATGTGTGACCTCAAATGTATGTATATATGTTTAACTTATTTCCCACCATATGTAGCCAACCGCGCTAATCAGTGTAATAATATAAAACATATGGCCTGCAGCACGGCCTCATACATTGAAATGCATCATTGTAGTTGTTGTTAAGCCAAAGTTAGCCACAACGTGCGTTTAGAGTATTTGGCTGCTATACACTTCCACGTGACAAGCCACTTCGTTGAGCTATCATGTGTGGCCAGGTCGCTTCTGATAAAAGAGCTATATAGGTCAGTGGACCTTACCTGGTAAAATAAAAAAAAGTTGAGTTTAGTTTCACCTTTCAGCATTACCGCAGCCTTTCCTTCAAACTATTATCAGTGTTTTAACATTTCTAACATCCATAGGTACATTGATGTATCCCAAATCTGCACTCGATTCCATTCAGGGCCCTATATGTAAGTATGTTCAATGTATTTCGCACGGTACGTAGACATCCATGTTAATCGAGGCGCGGATACTGTGTATGCTATCATACAGCACCGACCACGTACCTCACTTAGCAAGACTATTCAAGAATGCCTTTCATTAATTCTCAACATTACGTCAAGAAAAGTCGCCAAAAAACGTTAAGATCTTCATTTTCTCTGTCAGACTATGAACAAAAAAAACACCTGCCATTACTCATGGAAGAACATGCTTATAAGACATGCATGCCCCCCATGCGATTTGAATTGTCACGTTTCGTGGACACTGTTTGATTTAATAATAGTTACTAAACACAACATTGTGGTTACTGAAGCACCAGTAGTGGCTGCAGGGGTCTCCTAACATAATTGCAATACATCCAACTTGTGTCAATACAAAACGATCCATTTTCACAATCCAAATTCATCGAATGTATCGTAACTATAAGCATCAATTTTAATCAGTTAATTGATGCATGGTTACATGCCTAACGTGATGTATATATGTATAGTGATGTTCATAATCATCATCAGCCATGATCTGTCCATTGCTGGATGGAGGCCTTCTCAAGTAGTAAAGTTCAATTGATGGACCTTAATAATAGTGGTGTAATATCAGTGTGAGTCCCTCCAGCCTTTTCAAAATCTTAATGCTGAAAGTCTTCCAAAGGAATGCACTTCTCCCGCGATGTTCTAATAGCACAACGGTTACTTCACATTTGGTGTGCAGTGTTGAGTCGTAATTGGTCTCATTGGCATCACACATTCTGTCTGAGAGCAACACAACCTCGTGCCAGGCTAACGTCCCCTTGGCCACCTCGCAACACAAACCCCACGCCGCAGTAGGGCTGATTGGTGAAGGAGACCAGGGTAGGTGACCGGGCTGGGAATCGAACTCAGGTCACCAGGTTCAAAGAGCATTGCCCTGACCACTTTGTCACCACTGCATTAGACCGTAATGCATGCGGAATGCATTAATTTGCTGCTTGCATTGGCCTAGAAAAACCCATACATTCTTAGTTTGGTGGTCACCGCAGGCATCCATACATTTTCTGACAAATCTTTAAATTGGCATTTGCAATTACAACGTGGTCATCATTTTTATAGAACAGTGTCATGGGACCTTTTTTTATAAAATTTGCAGTGTGATATTTGTTCAGTGTATAAATAAATACAATTATGTTACGTGTATTTTGATGGCTCAGATGTTCGCGAGTATTGTGTGTGCACTAATGCACGCTCCATGTTTGCCACTCAATTTTCATCTAAAGTTTATACAAATCTGAAGCCTGCACACTGTAGATGATGCACACTGACAAGAGTGGGAAACACGATGGCTCTCACCACAAGTTACTAAATTACTCAATAGGCATTACACGAGACATTACACGAAACAATCATTGCGCTTTCCTGTGAAAACTTTCCAAGGACCTTCCTGAAAATGAGACGTGAGACACAGTGAAGCTTTTCTTGTCATTGTGCATAGTAGTCAATAGTTTATTAAAATGATGTGTAGCTATCCATTGCCATTCTGCAAAAGAAGTTCAACATACATACATTTCAGCTGTCAAGTGTATTTGTGCCTCT